AAAAAGCCTCTAACTTGAAGTTTAAAAGTTAAAGATGAAACAGCCCAAACCTTTAGGGTCACAGACCTTCTCTCTCTGGGCCCCCTCCCTTCCTTTCCCTCGCCCCCCCCCCTCCCTTCCCTCCTCCCATGCTAAGCTGACACTGCGCATTTAAACGTTAGCTGCTTTTACCTCTAATAGGATCAGCGGGACTTACATTTGTCATCTGATAAAACTAAGCAGCTTGACAACTACACTGCTCCTTCTTAACCAATTTATGCTCAATTAGGATAACAGAGAAACTCTGGAAGGAGAAGAATGATTTAAGAAAATCATGAGGGATACACTATCATTACTTTATAAGCTAGTTTGCAGTGAGAGTACATTTCTATAAACTGATTTGTGTGATTTTTCTGGATCTTTATGCCTTACTGGGAATGCAGATATCGTCACCATACTGTATTTAACTCCACTGGTATGATTTTAATGACAACTGTAAGTAACCGGTGAGCATTCAGCTACCACGGCAGTCTCTCTGATAAATCCATATTTTTAATGTATCTCTTGCTCATTAAAACCTTCTACTATTACAAGATAACCTCATTTCTGCCAGTGGTCAGAGATTTGAGGGGCATCTCGCTGACACAGCCTCCAGTGGCTCCTGAATGGACCATCTCTGTTCTGTCTTTAGTTTTCTCACTTCAGCTGACACTCACATGAGGATTATAAATTAAAGTCAACTTAGATAGTTATTAGATAGTTTACTTATCAGACTGGCATGTTAGGTGGTAAAAATGTCATGTGACCATGTATTTTGATACAAATAAATAATGAAAATACATTTTCCCAATTTTTTCCAATGAGAAAAGTTTTTAGCTTGTGGCTTCCCTGTGAGTTTGATTTGTGAATCGTTTAATTGTTTTGTTCTGTGCAGTAATGATGGAGGCTTATTGTGGTGCTGTTGTCATCACACACACAAAAAGGGCTTTTAAACAACAAAATCTTCATGTGCTGCATGAGTTCACAGAAGCATTGAAGGCTGAGCGGAGCCCTCTTCAATTTTAAAACAATCCTTATCTATCTGCATCTGTATCTATCTTGACATTTGACTGAGGGCACGGGAAATCTCTTTAGCGTCTTTAGGGTTGCAGCTGATTCTGTGACACTAAGACGGGTCAAGTTTAAAGTCTTTGCCCTCCACTGATTTACAGTGAGCTTCCCACCAAGAAACACCATTCAAGTGCATCGCGAAGAAACCAGGAAACATTCAACACCGTCCTGGTTACTGTAACAGCACCGTTTATCCCTATTTTCTGTTTCTATTTCCCCTATTGTTGACAATCGTCCAGTGAATTGCTGTGAGGAAGGGCCTGTTCACCATCAGCTGGGCCTTTATTTGCTTTATCTTTTTAAATAGGAAGTTGTTATTCCGTGGTAAAGGTTTTGTGTCAGTGAAAGTTACAACATGGAGACAGGAAGATTTGTAAAACTCGTTATTTACCAGCATTATAAAGATTAATCAAAGAGTAACCAGTTTGGGTTGAGACAGCAGCACCTGTTTTTCCCTTTAAAACTATGTGCAACAAGTTTACTGGCCTCTGCGTTTAGAATCTGGGCCGGATGAGTTGCTATGCCAACAAGCCTCTCCTGGGTGTAGAAAAACATCCAATGTTACATCTACTTTTATTAAAGTGCAGCCAAAAGATAACTTCCACTATTGCTCAACCTGTGATCCATTTAAAGTACAAAATTATAGAGAAAGTCAAGTCTGATTTATATAATAACCCTAACCCTAAGGTACACAAATCCTCTAGTTTGTAACGTTAAAAAGTGGTAACATTTGAATATATAATGCAGATTGTTTCTTTCCTACATATTGTATTTCTTAGTTGTGGCTCAAGCAGGAATCATAATTCACTATCAAACTGAATGAACTGTTGCAGAGCTTCACCTCAGACAAAAAGTCTTTATAGTTGATCACATAAAGGTATGATGAGAAATTAGAGTTTAAATCAAACTTTTGTGAATTGGTATATAATTGTTGTATATATATTTATATATATATATATATATATATATATATATATATATATATATTTTTTTTATATATATATATATATATGTATATATACATAAAAAAAAAAAAAAAAAAAAAAAAAATTAAAAACCTCTCAGGTTCATAGTTCCTTTTAAGTTTCCTTTTTTTCTTTTTGTTTTCGTATCTCTTTTGGTAACTGTTTAGTTTGGTGACTTTTCCTGAATCATGCCGGGTGAGTGTGCTCAGAGAAAACTTGGTGATTCTTTTGTCTCTAAAACAATAAGTTTATGAAAGAAAGCCTTGTTTGGGCTTCATTAGTCCTGCCTTACTTTGTGGGGGTGACATTTAAAACAGTTATTTGAGCAGAAAAACGCAGCCCATCAGTCTTAAAGGGAACGGATTGCAATTAACAGCCCGTCCTAATCCCTGGTTTCACCTCCTACTTCGCCTCCGCTTTGTCTGCCTCTCCATCTCCCTCCTCTGCACTCTGCTGTGAGCCGGGGTGGACGCTGCTGCCCTCCGTCCTCTGACCGGCCGCCTCTCGCTTCCACTTTATGGGGGAGTTGTTTTCAGGACCGCTAACAGCTCACAGAGACGATCATTAGAGGGATGTGAGGACGTGTTGAGAGGGGACGGAGAGAGTGAAGCACAGAGCGGATCTGGAATCAGGAAAGTTGGAGCTGAGCTGCTGAGAGGAGCAGGTGGATCCACGACTTCTCCTCTGAACGGTAGTTACAGTCCCATCTAACCCAGCATTTCTCCAGCTAGCATGGGGCTTCTTGTGGGAGAAATCTCCTGACTGTGACTGCAGTCCTGGTCCGTTTGCTGTGTTTTTAAAGAGGTTTTGTCCTCCAGAATCAGAGGTGTGAACTGTGTTAATGAACATCCTGTAACAGCTGACATCATGTGTTATCACAGGACCAAACCAACTCTTTTAGGGATAATACTAACCGGCTGCTCTTATTTTGGGTTTTGGGAACACACTAAATCTGTCACTGGTTAAATAAGGTGTGAAATAAACTCATGAAGTCGATTTATATTCAGACGAAGAATCCCAGTGCCTGTTTGTGGAAAGCTCAAAACTTTGGGAGTGTTTGGTCACTCTGTCGTTTGTTTTACGGTCGGAAGGGAAAACTCTCAATCACCTGCAGCTCAGTGGCCGATAATCAGGTTTAGGAGTGTGGAGGGATTGGACTGAGACTTACGGGGCTTAAGGAGGTGATCTGTGACCTCCTGCAGCTCCTCACCTACACCTTGTCCCTCTGTCCGCAGCTCGCTGCCCAGACGCTGGGATGCATCTCTCGCTGGACAGCATGAGCATGGTGGACGACAGCTGCCTCTCGCCCGGCAACTTCCACGAGCTGGGGAAAGGGGGGGGGGCCGCGGTGGGGGGCCGCGTCCACAGCATTGATGTCATCCTGGGGTTCAGTAAGGAGCAGGACTCTTTGTTGAGTCCCGCCGGGGCCCCGGGGCCCCCCAAAGCCGGCATCGAGGGCCTGGCCCAACACGGGAAGCAGCAGCAGGAGCCCCCCCCCACACCCGTCCTACAGCGGGCAGCGGGGGGGCGGCGCCCAGCAGCAGCACCGCGGTGAGTGGAGCCCTGCCGGGCCCAACCGGGCCCTGACCAGACCTGACCGGGCCCTGACCAGACCCGACCAGACCCGACCGAGCCCTACACCCCCCTTGAAGCACCTGACCACAGAGGCCGAGAGGCCCCGCTCTGACCACAGAGGCCGAGCTCGTTGGTCAGTCCTGACACTTTAAAATGTGTCATTAAGAGTCCAGCGTATGAAAACAGATTTTATTTGCCTCAAAAACTTTTGGATGATAAAGTAGGGAACCCTATTTTTATGTTTATGCATCTAGCAGACACTTTTCTCCAAAGCGACTTACATAGTAGACTTAATGTTAAAGTTATCAATCTGACAATAAGTTCTCTAGAGGAAAATCCCCAGTCAGAGTCAGTGGACACAGAAAAGATAGAGAAGGAAGCTCAGGAAGAGCAGTAGGGGGTCCAGAGGTCTGGGGAAGAGTCAGAATAAGAGATCAGGAGTCGTTAGGACGTTTTTTCAGCACTGATTGTTCACATTTGTACAATTGTGCATTTATGCCTCTGAGCGATGTTGTTATCAAACTTATGAGTTTGATAACAGAGTTCAGGAAGTGTTGCATGTGTCTGTCCAGACGGGAGGAGTAAACCACTTCAGTCTAAAAGGATATATTTAAACCTTTGAAGTTATAAATACATATTTTAGCCAGCATGTACATTTAAAAAGATTTAAATGTGTTTAAACAAAAATAGCCTCTTAATAAATCAAACAGTCATAAACTGCCCAAAAAATCCATGAGACAGAGGAGGCTAGTGATCTTTGGGTTTTGATTTATGTAAATATCCTACAATAAAAACACATAATAAACCAAACAATTAACTCTCATTCTGACATAAATGAGCATGTTGAAATCGGTCGTATTCCTCTGCGTGTGGAGCGGCCAGCTGCTGTAACTGCGGTTATTTGTGCCGACTTACGGCATAGAAAAAGGCCATCCTATTAAATTTTTGGCACCTTTTCCATATATTAAGTTGACCTCTCATATGCAGAGTTGCTGGTTGCCAGAGCGTGTTGCATTGACCGAGTAGTGCAGACTGAGGGATAAATCACTGGACAAGATGGTGAAGGGGGTTTATGTCCCCAAGACCAATCCCATCCCCTTGTGGAATTCCCCCTAATCTGATTCTGCACAGATTAGATTGTACAGTAGTTCATTCTGGTGTGATTGTTATCATTCGCTCTCAGAATCAAATTTGCTACATTTAATCTGAGGCTATTTCCAGGATGGGGCAGGTGGTTGGTGAATTTGTGGCAGAAACAAAAGGAAAAAGTTATCCCAATGACCTGGTTATGGGCCCATTTCTTACAAACAAATGACTCAAAAGTCATTTGAATGCAGGTTTGTTTAGTTACATGGAGATCCATCAGCAACAATGGTTCTGCTCTCCTCAGGTCTGTCCTCTCTGTGGAGTCAGTCCAGTTCTGCTTGAATGAGCTGCTTTTCAGTTTGGGGTGTCAGTCCCCCATTCTTTTCTGGGTGGAGATGCTGAACTGGCTAAGAAGCGGTGGGGAGACTTCAGACCAGAGGCTGCTGCGGGCTGACAGGCCAGAGCTGGTCACTGAACCAGACCTGACCTCTGCCTTTGTCCGAGTCTGGTCTTTGTCACAGCAGCTTAATGAGAGGTGGATAAATCAACCCCCCGAGTCCTGCTTTACTTTTGCTGCCGCTCCTGTTTGCTCGTGGAAAGACTGTGGTGACCTCTTTTTTATTTTTAAACCTCTATAAGCATATTCCATTCACAAAAACAACATAAAATGAGGATTTGTGTGCAGTAGTTCCACTGAAGCTCAGAAGAGGTTCTTAAAATATTGCCTTACTAACTTACTAACTTCCCTGAAAAAAATAGTTGACTCAAACTTTTTGTATTCAAGTCATAATTGCCAATCATAAGTTGCAAAAATGCAAATAGGTAATATTGGATAATCCCATATTTCCTTTAGGAGCTGCTAGACAGTTATGTTTTCCAGACTATAATAGGTTATAAATGTTTAACTTCCCTAACAGCACAGATGAAATTCAGCCTCGTTCTTTTGACTTTTTCTTGCTTTTGCAAAGAAACAAAGTGAATATTGGATAATGCCAGCTGACCAGAATCGTGAAATGCTATGTATAAAAAAGGTTAAAAATGCCTCACTTTCTGTTTCTACCCCTAAACCCGCTGGCAGAGCCCCTAAGTTTTTTTCAGTCAGTCTAATTGTACAGAAAAGAATAATAGTATCATAGCAGACATGTGATGATCCCAAAGTGTAATAACGTAATAACCCTGTGTCCTCATGTACTTTAGATGGTTTAGAAGAAACAGATTTGATGCAACTTCTGTAAATTCAGTAAAGGTGTCTGAACTTTCTGGAGGTCCGGGGCCTTCTTTACTTCCCTGAACGTCAGTAGTTTATCCTTTCAGGTGTCAGACTAATGATTGTTCCTGGGTTTGCTGCAGACTGCTCATGGGTTTTTTTGTGGTGTTGTAAAAACAGACGCTGGTTTGTATGCAAACAAGAGTGATGAGGACTTGGGAGAGCTGAGGAAGAGCATAGAGAGCGATGATGGCAAGTCCCCAGAGTCCTGCAAGGATGATCAGCCCAAGAAGAAACACAGACGGAACCGCACCACCTTCACCACCTACCAGCTGCACGAGCTGGAGCGTGCCTTTGAGAAGTCGCACTACCCAGACGTGTACAGCCGGGAGGAGCTCGCCATGAAGGTCAACCTCCCCGAGGTCCGCGTCCAGGTGGGAGCAAACAGGCCAAAAACACTCATTTTTACTCTCCCCTTTTTGAATGTGTTGGGCTATTATTAGAACTGATGTCAGAGAGTGTGATGCTCAGTGAAAGTCTGCGGATCCAAAAGGCTATTTGACCTTAACCCCTTAGATAACCTGACGATTTAAACTTGTTTGTGTCCCATATCAAGCCAAAGTCTCTGGCCTTTCGCCTGGTGCTTGTTCGGGTGAGCAGATTATTCTAAATGATTAGGCCAGCCTGCTGAGTGGTCCCGAGCACTAAGGCTCACACTAAATAAGTTGCAAAACCAAGAGAGTAGAGAGAAGATTGGAACAGGGCGCAGGATGTGAGGCAAAGTGATGTCTTTAAGTGCAGTATCTGGGATTTAGAATAACTTTTTTTGAAAACTTATCCTTAACTAAATACAAACATATTCCATGACATTTCATTAGATTGTAGTCCAAAGGTAGAATGACAGTTAAATTCTTTATTCCATATTATTGAGCACACTTTAAGTGTTGAATACCAAAGGTCTAAGATCCTTTTTGTCAGATAATTCATCCATAAGTTAACATTTGTTGCCTTACTTTGTAATATGTTTTCATTCCATAAGGTCGTCTGATCTGACAGAATCTAGTGTGTCAAAATGAAAACGTTTCCCACACGTATAAGGTTGAACGTGATGCCTTTATGTAAAAATAGTTTATGTCGGTTGAATATTTTCCTGGAATTTTATGGATAAAATAACTAAAAATAATTGCAACTTTCACTAAATACATTCCAATAGCCAATTCTCAGCAGAAAAGAAGGAAAACTAATCAAATTAAATCATTTTAATACTGATTAGTCTATATGATAACTCATATAGTATCTCAGTTTATATATCATGTATGATTTCAGTCATAATAAACAGATTTAATTGCTAAATGTTTCTACATAAATTAAAGCAATTGTCTTTTATCCTGAGGAGAAATGTTTAAACTTGCCAGACAGTAACTGATTATAACTGAATCAAATGTAATCAACATTTTTGCTGTTTTCCATCCGTTAGTCTGAACGACACACTGATGTGTTTTTCATGACATTTCTTTTTCCCCCTAAGGTTTGGTTTCAGAATCGCAGAGCTAAATGGCGTCGGCAGGAGAAAATGGATGCGAGCACAATGAAGCTGCACGACTCCCCGATGCTTTCCTTCAACCGCCCCGCCCCAGTCCACACCGGCATGGGTCCCATGACCAACTCTCTCCCGCTGGACCCCTGGCTGTCCTCTCCTCTGTCCAGCGCCACTCCGGTCCACAGCATCCCGGGCTTTATGGGCCCGTCCCAAGGCCTCCAGCCCAGCTATCCGAGCCACGGATTCCTCAACGCTGCTCCCCACGCCTCTCACCCCCACCCTCACCCCCACCCTCACCCCCACCCCTCCGTGGGCCAGGGGATGCAGAGCATGGCCCCCCCTCCCTACCAGTGTGCGGCCCAGTACACTGATAAGTATCCTCTGGAGGACGTGGACCAGCGCAGCTCCAGTATCGCAGCCCTGAGAATGAAAGCCAAGGAACACATCCAGTCAATGGACAAGACCTGGCAACCCATGTGACCAGCAAACCTGGCAGCCCGTGATAAGTGATGCTGGGAAAATAAGACTCTGAAACGACAACTTAGGAGTCAAAGACATGAGCCATGTCTCCTGAGAAACTTTTTTTTGGACTCTCTTTTAATTATTTTTCTTTTCCTCCTCATCTCAAGGACCTGAGAGTGAAATCTGCTGTGTGGTTACATTTCTAACTTGAAACTGGCACAAACCAGACATGTCTTCTCTTCTCAATCATGGCTGTCATGACAATTTGCACCCAAGTAATGATCAGACTTGAATTTTTATCCAGATGGAAAAACATTCCTTTTAATGACAATAACTTTATGCTGACTTGTTTGCAGCACACTAGTTGCTTCATTTAATTGTTTATTTTACAACTTCCTGACTACAACTTATATATTTGATCCCACAGAGCTGGTGGAACTCAATGAAAGTTCAATCATGAGATCATGAGCTGTTAGATCATTTGGTTCAACTTTAACTAAAAAATAATCCTCCACAAACTCAGTCCTTTTTTTCCAGCATATGGTGAGACGCGTTTAGGAAAGAAAGGAGGCAGTAACCAGGCCAGATGAGTGGTTTTTGTTTAGTGGAGCGGCGGTTGGAGGTGAGGACGTGTCGGCTCAGAGCTGAGGGCTCTGTTAACGTGCACGGCAACAGAAAGACCTCTGTGTCATGCATCACCCCACATAGTTCTGTCTTTGTTTGGCACAATTGATCCAAGTGTATCTTCTTTGTCTGAGGCTGAAGGGGGAGAAACGGTTTCGGGCCGCACTAAATGGACTCATTTTGTTAAAGAACTTTTTTTTTTCTTGATCAAATGACTAGAAACATGGATTTTAGCTGCAGTCATTAGTGACACATTATTGGTCTTTTACCATCTGTTACCGAGTTGCAGACTAGTTATCTTGAAGGCAGAAAAAAATCAGGCCGAATATGGAAGAAGAAACTACTTAGGCTCTGAGATGTTTTAGCATCTTGTGTGGTACCTCTGTATTTGACGCCTTGGTAATGGAACAAGATGTGGAACAAGTCCATCACTTCAATGTGCAATTTCAGAATCCCTTTTTGAATTTTTAAAAAATAGTTTTTAATTGTTTCTTTTTTCTTTAAAGACAGAAACATCCATTTCCCATTTGTGAGGTTGGGAAATTCCCATTTGACATGATTTCTAACTGCAGAAATAACAGAAGAGCATAGATTATTTCTAGAAAATTAGAAAACCAACAACCTAAAGACAGGGTAAATAAAGCACACAGCTGCTGCCAGTCATTGCTCAACATAGTGATTCAGTGATGTTTTCTGTGATTTTTTCACATACCTTTCATAGTTGGAAGACTATCTTGCACATCAAAAGCATCTTTCGAACAGAAACTATTTTATTTTGGAAAAAGAGTAAGCCAAAGCTTAGAAAATGGGCAAAACTGCACTAGATTAGGTTTAGGTTTGTCTTCTGAAAATGTGAAAATGTACAGGAAATCTCTTACATGTTCTAGTCATGTCTGTCCTAGTGTTATTGTTTTGTTATTTTTTTGTATTTGGATTAAATGATGTTCATACTCTGGAAAGAATTGAAACCTACAGAATAAATATAGTTTGATAGAAAATGCTTATCTCCACTTTCTCACTGCAGAGCTTTCATGTTGACCTTTGCACTTATTCCCACACAGTTCTTTTTGTCTTTACTAAGACTAAAAAGCAATCCAAGATTACTACAGTATAATCGTTGTCATCTGACATACATGAGCAGACATTCTTTCTTTTTAGCTGCCGCTTGTGTTCCTTGTCTCGCTCTGTCATCTAAGAGCTCTTTCTTTTCACCACCCCTCCCTGCTCTGGGCTGTTCCTGGTTTGGTGGCAGGATGCCAGCCTGTTAGGAAGATGAGACTCCAATCAATCAGAGCTTCCTAGGGGGGCCTCTGAGCATAGGCCCAGCTCCCCTAATTGCCCCCGGGCCGGCCTGTGGGCGGCGGGGCCGCTGCGACACATGTTCACAGGCTGAGCGGGGCCTCCGCGCTCTCGCCTCCTCTGTGTGTGAATCACTTTCCTGGACAGATGGAGGCCTGAATAGACCTCACTTTGAGGACCATATGGTTAAGCCAGTGGGTGCAACAGGGCAATGTTTCTATGATTTTTGACATGTTGCAAAATGATTAGATGCTGCTCAACGAAATGTTTGTGTCAGGTCGGCTTGTGACTCTTAACCGGGTCACAAAGCTTAGTGTCTGATTTTCCAAGACATATTTACTGAAATATTCTGCTGAAAATCACCTCCATGCTCTGACAATGTTTCTGTTTTACCCTCAGTTACATGGTGCATGATGATTTAGTGGAGCCTGAAAGATAAGATGTGTTGGTGTGGATATTTCCAGATCATTCTTCTCATTTGCATATTGAACTTTAAAATTGCTAACATGTTGTTAGCATTTTAAAGCAATTTGAAAAACAATGGACTCTCCTCTATTGATTTATGTAGGAATTTGTTTTTTGATTTTAAAATTAAATGTCTAAACTGGTATTAAGAATCAAAGCAATCAAGTTAAAAACCCTAATAGAAATCTTAAATCTAACATTTTACCAAATTTACAAGTCAGACAAGAAAGACTTGTTGCAGTTTTTACAGGTTGTTTTAGGTTGTTTGAGCTTAACAGATATATCGGGTGAAAAGTGGGGATAACCAGCAATGTCAGGCAGTCAGAGAGGGAGAAGGGGAAAAGCGAAAACATTAAGAAAGAGATTAAGCTGAAGAAAAGTGTGGGAGTCTAAGAGAAAAACAGAAAGAGGAGGAGAGTAGAGAGGAAGAGAACTGAAGGGAGGGATGGTGGGATGGCTGCTCATCAGGGTTAATGATGTAGAAAATCCCCCAATTAGAGCATTTTCCTGTGTTTCAGGATGAGTTCAGAGCAGGGTCCTCTGACAGCCTGGGGGATTAGTACCCGGTCTGGGCCGGGCCCAGTTGGGTTTGAACAGACACTAACCGAGGGCTGGACAGCTTGGCACTGTGGGCTGGGGCCGGGTCGGGGCTCCGGGCTCCAGTCACAGCCCGGGGGCCGGGGTAGGCATGCGTTGAGCCGGAGTGAGAGCCACAAAGGGAAGCATGGGAAAAAGAGCAGCATGAAAAATAAGTTCTGATCAAGACACGTCATGCAAAACATCCACTCTAATGTGAACTTTCACAGCCATTATAACAAAATCACCATTAATTTTTAAATCATGAAGCCACAATATCACAGTTAAATGCTCCCAGAATTCTGCATTACAGCTTTACTTTTGCACGCCCAATACATTCTTAATCTTATCAGGACATGAGGATTTGAAAGAAAATCAATCCCAAACCATAAATCTTAAGATGACAAAGAGGTTGTTGGCAGTAAGATGCAGGGACACAGCCATTAATCCGCCCTCACCTTTGAACTGGGGACAATGAAGAGCAGAAGTTTGTCTCCCAAAACAGAACTGAACTGTTCACTGATTAAAAAACCTTTTCTCTATCATGAGGTATTCACCTGCAGGTAGGAAAAACAAAACTGTACACGTTAGCAGAGCTATGTCAATCAGAGGAGAGAAGCTTGAAGATGAATTCTTGAGCTTTAAAATGTATGTGCTTGTTAAAAGAATCCACTTACATACAACTAACAGACAATAACTGTGAATTATTGTGAATTACCAGGTCTGCTCCAGGTCCCCCTCAGAGAAATGTGACGGTATATTCCAAATCCCATAACATACATCAGACACCAGCACGATGGAGAACCTCTGATCTCACAACTCTGTTGAAAGCGGTTAGGAATCGGACATTAGGTTGAACCCTTTAGGGCACTCTGTTCCTTTAAAACACAGAAAGAAGAGAAGGGAATAAAACAGCAAGCAGCATCCCAACAGAGAAACACCGTGGATGTATCCGGAGAGTTTGAGGGTGATTCAATCAACATGGGGAAGGAACACTTAGTAATAGATAAGAGCAGAATGGATCCATAATTATATGAGGATATTTTAAGCTATTGTTAAGAGCCAAGTTAGCATCTAATGCTACAGGCCATTCACACCAATCTGAAATTTCTGGAGCATCAAAGTCCCTCTGTATCATATTTTTAATGTAGCAATGACTAATAATGACATTATACTTTGTGAACCGAGCATTAGTTTCCCCCATTATTTGTTTTTATTTTTACAAGTTTTGTTGGGATTGCAAGTGAATTCACTTTTGTTTCAACTGACTTAATCCGCTAACAGTCTCCTCTGTCAGCTATTAGTAATAAGTGATGCAGTGTAGTTACAGAATGTAGGGCAATATAGGCCTATATATGACAGAGCCTCTTCTTTGTTTTAGTTTTATGTGCCCACATCCTGGTCATTCTAAAATGAGAACATACATTTTCTTAAGAATTTGACTAACTTGCTTTTTATTTTATTATAGCAGCAAAGATTTGTCATACTTGACAGCTATGTCATTTCCAATTAGTCAAGTGTTGATTTAAAAAACGGTGTGATCTTCAATGATATGTTAATTCTAGTTTTGAAACATTGATCAGAACAGGATTGATGTTTGGTATAGCATTGCAGTAATAGATTTGCAAATTATTGAAAGTGCATTGAAAGTTCTTTCTGTACAGGCTTGTGGTAAAATAAATTACCACAACCACATATTTTTGTTTAGTAAAAAACATGATATTCTTGAGAGGTTTAGTTAAGAGGTAACTATTTTTCTGATGCTGATAAAAACCTAAAGCCTCTGCACTAAACAGCGATAGTGATCATAAAAAATAACTAAGTACTTAATGACTAATTGATTAATTGTGCAGTCTATTATTTTGCTCCTGCACTCCAGTAGATCTGAAAGAGCTCCGGCTGGAGTTAACAGTCTTATTGGAAGGACGCGTTCCTTGCAAAGGATAATAAGGGAAAATAGCGGAATTAATTGGGTTTGATTAAGAGAGCTTTTCAATGGGACACAGCTTTTTCGCATGACATAATTAGAGGTCAGTTAAGGGGGTGTGGAGGGGTGAGGTGGTGGGGGGGTTGGTTGTTGGCGCCAGTGCTTTGTGGGTGTGTCTGTAAGAGGGAGACAGACAGACACACAGACAGTGTGTGTGTGTGCGTGTGTGTGTGTGTGTGTGGAGGTAAAGGGGGGGCATATGCTTCCTTCACACTTGTGGAACTATGCTCTGTGTCCGATGTGGTAAATTTCTATAGGCTCACTCACCAGAAAACACAAAGTGAAGTTCACAGGGGGCTCTGTGTGTGATTATTATCACTACAATTGCCAGCATTAAAGGCACAGTGCTCCTTCTTTGTTGATGCAATACGGTCATTTGCTGTGCATCGTTAAGAGTACATTACCGTGTTTAGTGGGAGGAGAGCAGAAAAACACAATCAGCATTGTTTTTGGAGATGCAAATTGAATTCATTATAGACTTGCACACATGAACATGCAAAATGCAGAATTAGGTTGAGACATAATCCAGGGGAGAGGAGAGTGGATCTAAACATATATTTGAACTGTGATAAAACCACAACTAGAGTCCACACTTGATTAGATTATAGAATGTTTCATCATGCAGCTGCAGTTTTTTTTTCTCGTAACAGTTTAGATTTTACTGTTCTCTGTTTAACAGGATTGGCAAAAAGATAATGAGCCCAAAACAGTTCTGTGAAGTGGATCTTTAATCCTACTGAGAGAAGCATTCATCTTTGGCAAGATATCAGATTATAAACCACAGAGGAATGTGTAATGGAGAGAGAACTTGTGTAGAAATACTCTCATTATTACTGTATATATAGATTCCCCTGCTTAGGGGAGCAGTCGTGTTAGTGTTACTTATACCCTTTATGCTGAGGTTTATTTTAATGTTATTACATATTTAATATTTTTGTCAAACTGCAGGAAATAATATGAGCTAAGTAGTTATGAGAAACTGACTCAGAAAACTCAGGTCTAAAGACATTAGGTGTTAAACTATGGGAAATTCTTTCCTGTCAGAAAGCGGAAAATAAGATGATGGTACTTTGGCTAATCAAAATTCTGGTGCTTAGAAAAGGTAGCATTCAAATACTGTAAATAGTTGTTCCATCTTCCAAACCAACTTAATTTAATTCTGGGTTGCTATACTTTATCTCAGAGGAAAACCTGGACAGATAATGTAAAACCACCAATTAAGCTAACATGCGGGTTGATGAGTGCTGGGAGAAAGCCGGTGTATCCAGAAAGAATCACAAAAAATCCCAAATGCATGACATGAATGTGCAGGCCTCAGGCAGAATGGGCCCAGGATTCAAACAAAGAGCTGCTCTGTCCACTGAGCATACTGACCTATACAGCGCTGTGTGCCACAATGGAGAGAAATATGATGTATATGATGGACCTTTTGCTCCGTTGAATTGGCATCCACTGAGCAGCAATGCCTTCTTCTGGTGCCCAACTACAAATTATAGATACTCCAAGGAAGCCAGTCGATCCCATAAGAGATACTTTATCATTTATGGTACAGCAATACATGATTAAACTTCATTTGAATCACAAATCAAACTGAGAGAAGCGTGTAAACTTTTAAGGTTTGACTTTGTAAAGTTACTAACGTGTATGGTTTATATATTCAAAACACAGTAATTGCTGTCAAAACACATTTGTACTAAAAACATGTCAAGATCACAGGAAACTTAACTATTCATCCCTCCATTTTCTAAAATGCTTATTTTATTTGTAACAATTCCTTGGAATGACAGTTTTATTGTTAGTCTTCCACTGTTTTTTGTGGTGGTTTTGCACCTCTAGCATTTTATTATGGAAGTCAAAACACTTCAGGAAATGCTTTGAATAAATTTGATTACAACAATAATATAAAGAAATAAAGTATTTTGAGAGATTAATCAATGTACTTGCATTTGACCAGTGTAATGTGTGACCTGCTTAACCCTGAAAGTGGATCTATGGCGCCCTCTATGTCTAAAACCTCCACACGACAAAACAACAGCGGAATGAAGTTATTTTACATTTATATAGTTTAAAGTGCATCAGATATACAACATCATTCTTAACATTGTATATACCAGAGAATCAATCGCAAGTTATTGTCAGATCAAGACCTAAGAGAAATGCTCTTTGACTTCCATCACTTTAATTGAGAAGGTAAAATAAAATCTTTCTAGGTCTAATGATACAAAAATGTAGTCTCTTTTGAAAGCGGGCCACGAAAACCAAAATTAATTAAAATATTAAAAATAATGGTGCTTCGTTGCACCATATGGGTGCAACGAAGCACACGTCAAGCATTTCCGTGTTTTGATTTGAATGGTATACGTCACAAAAATTCCCACAATGCAATGCCGCTTACGCCTCAGCTACAGAGTTACAGCAGCTAGCTGAAGTCTTGGAGCAACTCTCTTGGAAAACACGCCGGGTGGGCTGCTCTGAACTCAGCATCGCTGGCCGTGACCGTGGGCGGCAGCAGGGTCGGTCGGCGGGTCGGTCGGAGGTTTGTTGTCTGGGCCTTTAGGAGGAGATTAGCTTTTAGCCTAGCTAGCTAGCGCTGCTATCTACTGGGTTGTTTCAGTGAACAGGTGAAGGCTGGGAGATATCAGCTCTGGACAGGAGTATGAGACGTTTTCAGAGTATTTTAAACCAGCACAGACTGTTTTCAACTCTGAATTTCTACAGGATATAAAACAAACTGGTAGTATGCTAATGTGTCAACATTTTGTGTTGGTTATGAGGGACAGATTGTTGTCGACTTTTAAAAGTACAGCTTTCAAAAAACAAAAACATTATTATCCTGTCAGTTCTTTCTAAACCAAACTTACTGATTCATAAACCTTGTAACCTATTTAAACCCTATTATTAGGCTGTTACCTTGTAGCTTGTGATGGGCATCTATCGATTTCAGAAAAAACAACAACAACAACAACTCCAACATCAAGATGAAAATTAAAGAAAATATTTTGTAATTTTTTAACCAAAGTGAAACCAAAGATAATAAATTACTTTAGATAAACAACCAGAAAAATTAGCTTTTATAGAACTATTCTGGCATAAACACCTACATTTTTCCTTAAAACTTTTGTGGTAATATTTTAGTAGTAGTAGTAGTCAAAACATGATTAAGTAAATGTTCAAATGTTTACAGATCATTGGCGCTCACTAATGTTACTTTGCCACTGGGATTATCAAAGTATTTCTGATTCTGATTAATCTCGATATTAGGAAACACTAGTAAGATGTACCTTAAGAATAAAAAGAGAAGATGGAATGGCCGTTATGTTTGTGTGTTTGTCAGGCTAGTCTTCTCAGCCTGCGGCAGAGGGCTGAGAGTCTCAGATGGATCCTGAATATCAACACCGCCTGCTGCGCCAAATCAATCTTCAGAATGTCAACTTGAGCCCTGTTGTGAGTTGAGGTTTTTCCCTTTTTTTACCCTACCCCTTTTTTACCCTGGTCATTGTAGAATTACTGATGATTCTGTCAGCAGATTTCTAACCAGCTTCAGTTAAAGTTGATCAAAACTTGTGGTTGTTTCAGAAGCTGCCGCAGAGTCTGCACAGTAGGACCCCCACCGGCTCCCCGCTGTCCTCACCCAGTAAGCTTGGAGACAGATTCATTCCCACCAGAGCTGGAGCCAGTTGGAACATCAACTTCCACAGGATCAATGTATGGCTTTATGGTTGATAAATAAGTATGATATATGATGGCCAAAGATTGGAATGGTTGTTTGCAATAGTTACACTATGTATGTATGTGTGTTAATAGGTGTTTTCACATCTTATTTGATATATCATCTCTCTAAATCTTTATAACTGAATGGTGTAAAATGAGGATAACTAATCTAGACAGTTTCTAAATTATTCAAAAGTGAATCACGTTTAAAAGAGCTACAATTATAGATGGGACATTTACAGGTGAGAACTTGTCATTCAGACTAGTTGTAAGAACTTTGTGGAATGTAATACTATATTTGTATACTGCATGATTTCAAATGTTATTTGACAGAGTTCAATCTCTATAATCTTCATTTATAATGTGGAAAAACTGTAAAATTGCCAAATTAAGTTGATCAAGTCTGAGTACTATTGTATGCGTTTTTTAAAGATGCAAACTGAGTTCAGCTCTGTGAAAATTGTTCTTGTTTTTTATTTATTTATAGGAAAATGAGAAGTCCCCAAGTCAGAACAGAAAAACAAAGGATGCCTCTTCAGATAATACCAAAGGTAAACGTGTTTTTGGAACTCTTTCTGTACTGCTAAGCAGGTGTAGATGATGGCAGAGGGAAAGAAAAGCTAATCAGTAACACAGCTTCATCATCAAAGTAAGATAAGATTCAGTGGATTATTTAGTCTGAAGTCTGTTAACTGAATTGAATCTGAGAAAGTTTCAGTCTTCTGTCAGATGGAATTCTTGTGCAAACAAAAAAAGGAGTTTGGACTGTTTAGTCAGTGAATTGTTAAATGGCAATTATGAAAACAACGTATGCTAAAAAAAACATATGTAGATGTTAATATACCGCAGCTCCCTATCATTCTCCTCCTTCCTGACCCCCCCAGCTGATGATTTACTATTCTTGGGGGTCTTCCCGACATCACGAACGTGTGTAATAACACACAGACACACACTTAGACACAGAGACACTGACTAATATAGCTATCTAACGCTTTTCTGATTTTTTAGAAACACTCTTTTGCTTGATTTCCTTTTCTTATTTTCCATTAGTTTCTTCTTCTCTCTCATCAGAGCCATTGTATTAGCGGTATAGTCTCATGTTATTGTAACACATATCATGTATTGATAGGAATTTTATAGATTGAGGAAACTGTGACTGGTTATACTCTGGGCATTTAAAACTTTGTACCAGTGCTGTGGTGGTATGTGGGTTAAAGGGTTAAACATCTGAAGGGGCATGCTTTGGAACTAGCAGTATGTGTATTGGACTACATGTGATTTCCATTTGGATGTCACATGTCCAGGGCTTCCCATTGAAAGTCCATGTGCCAACATCTTTTTTTTGTTCTTAAAGAGAACTGTTAAGCTGCGAGGTGACACCTGTAAATGCATTCATCTCTTACCTGTAAACCTAAAATTCCCAAGAGTTGGTTAGGTTTCTTCTCAAAGTTTCCAGTGTAAGTTGCCATGGTGATGAAACCTCGCTTTGTGTCGCTGAAATATCAGAGCTAGACTTGACGTTTTCTCTGAGCTGCTTATCCTGCTCTGTAGTACAGACCCCCCTGTAGTCTGCAGCTTGCTCCTCATGCCCGTTAGTGCCGTTTCCTGGGTCTGAAGATGCTGTTGTGCTTGTAGCAGACGGGCTGGCCTACTCTGCTCTGCTGAAGAACGAGCTGCTGGGAGCAGGGATAGAGAAGATCCAGGACCCCCAGACAGAGGACAGACGGCTACAGCCGACAACACCTGAGAGGAGGAGTGTCTTTACAGTAGGAGTCTTTGTGTTATTGTCCTAACAAGTAGGCTTGTCCCGATCCGATATAAAAGTCCCATCCCACACGAGCATCAGCATCTCCTAACCCACAGGTCTGTGTCCTAACCATTAAGTTGTTATCAGAGTAAATCCCTGTTCTACATGAGTCTGACAACTAAGGAAGTAGATAAATAACTTTAAACTTTAATACATGCTCTGATAGGCCGGGATTGGTATTGGATCGGAAGTGCGAAAATTTGGATCGGGACATCCCTATTAGCAAGTGTAAGTTTAAAAAAAAAAAAAGTTTAATTATTTGTAATGAAAAAAATGTTCTGCCTTTGTGTTGAGCAGTATTCACTCAACAGCAAAAGGCCTTCTCCTGATGACGGCAGCAACATCTCTCCCTACTCTCTGTCACCTGTGAGTAACAAAAGGTAGGAGGCCTGCAAATATATTTTTATTTGACTGATCATATTATCGTTTAACCCTGAAAACAAAGAAAAAAAATTCACATTTACTTTTTAAGAACACGAGGTTTCAAAGTTGTGTTAAATTCCTTCTGTTGCAGTCAGAAATTGTTGCGTTCACCAAGAAAACCAACTCGCAAGATCTCCAAAATCCCTTTCAAGGTGCTGGATGCTCCGGAGCTGCAGGACGACTTTTACCTCAACCTGGTGGACTGGTCGTCCCTCAACGTGCTGAGCGTGGGGCTGGGCACCTGCGTGTACCTGTGGAGCGCCTGCACCAGCCAGGTACTGCGCGCTGGCTTTGGGGGCTCCTCTGGGAGGAGGAGTGTGTGGTACCTGGCGGGATAAACTCACCTGTGTGTTGAACTTGCTCTCCTCAGGTGACGAGGCTGTGCGACCTGTCTGTGGAGGGAGACTCGGTGACATCGGTCGGATGGTCTGAACGGGTTCGTCCTGGTGCTCCACACCGTGACGGCCGTGACGGGAGAATTTCACGTGCGTTTCATTTGGTGCTGTTTGTTTGCAGGGAAATCTGGTGGCAGTGGGAACTCATAAAGGCTATGTGCAGATCTGGGACGCGGGTGCGGGCAAAAAGCTCTTTGCCCTGGAGGGGCACACGGCCAGAGTTGGTGAGAAGTTTGCTGCCATTTAAAACAAAACCCTCCTCCCAGTCACCACTGAACAGGGCTGTTCGTAGGAGCGCTGGCGTGGAACGCAGACCAGCTGTCCTCTGGAAGCCGTGACCGCATGATTCTTCAGAGAGACATCCGGACCCCCCCGCTGCAGTCCGAGCGCCGCCTGCAGGGACACAGACAAGAAGTCTGTGGCTTGAAGTGGAGCACTGACCATCAGCTGCTTGCTTCCGGTGGCAATGACAATAAGGTATTGATCTGTGTGCAGTAGGGTTGTCATCATACTAACATTTTCAACCCCATACCGATACTCAGGAAAATATTCAATACCATTTTCGATACCAAAAGGATAAAAACAAAGACCTCGAAATTTAACAGATTTTCAACAGGTTGGTTTCTTTTGTTTCAAACTAACCTGTAGCTGATGTTATGGTGGCCGGTGGCCCACATTAATGTTGGCGTATTATTGTTAGCCATTAGCCGCAGCTAGCAATTCAAGGCTAACGTCACGTTAATGATCATAAACAACGTAAATAAATAAATTAATTAATCAGAGAGAAGGAGCGCAGCGTCAGGGGGGTGGGGGTGGTATCTATACTTTTGAAAATGAGTATCGTATCCGCATACAACGTTTCAGTATCGATACTTTTTTGAGTATCGATACTTTTGACAACCCTAGTGTGCAACCAGTCTCCGGGTTTCTTTGCCCTGTGTCCCTTAGCAAAGGCAGTTTTTCCCTCCCTGTGTCTCCTAGTGCTGCTCTTGGTGGGAATTGTTGGGCTTCTGTAAATAAATTCAGAGTCGGTCTGACCTGCTCTGTTAGGGAGATAACTGTTGTTGGGATTCGTGGCTATAGAAATAAAATACAATTGAAATTGAATGAAGCTGGTTTGTGCGCCCAGCTGCTGGTGTGGAACCACTCGTCGCTGAGCTCCGTGCAGACGTACACGGATCACCTGGCTGCAGTAAAGGCCATTGCCTGGTCCCCTCACCAGCACGGGCTCCTCGCCTCCGGCGGCGGCACCGCGGACCGCTGCATCCGGTTCTGGAACACCCTGACCTCCCAGCCGCTGCAGTGCATGGACACCGGCTCCCAGGTCTGCAACCTGGCCTGGTCCAAACATGCCAATGAGCTGGTGAGCAACTTCCTATTCTGCATGCAACCTGTTCAGAGACTGCCCAATAGGGATGTCCCCATCCAGCTTTTTACACCTCCGATCCGATACCGATCCGGGCCTATCAGAGCATGTACTAAAGTCTAAAGTTATTTATCTACTTACTTAGTTGTCAGACTCATGTTGAACAGGGATTTACTCTGATAACAAATTAATGGTTAGGACACAGACCTGTGGGTTACAGATGATAATGCTAATGCTCATGGGGGATCGGACTTAAAATAAACTGGATCTGGAGTCTGGATCTGCATTTTCTCCTGCGGGCCGATACGCATTTTTTTTACAAATATCGGCGGCCGATCTATCCAGATATCGAATCAGGACCAGCCCACTGCCCAATTCTGAAGACTGCAATTAAAAATAAATTGCACCCTTAAAATGCAACTCATCCTGTTATCTATTAGGAATTCTCACTCTGCATCTGTTAGCCTAATTCACGAAGATTTCTCGAATTTCCAAGCAAAACCCAAGTAGATGCTCTTTCTTGCAGGTAAGCACCCATGGATACTCACAGAACCAGATCTTGGTCTGGAAATACCCGGCTCTCACTCAGGTGGCCAAGCTCACAGGCCACTCCTACAGAGTGCTCTACCTGGTCAGTGTGCAATTCTTTTTTTTTTTTGTTGCCTTCCCCAAGATATGATCTTGCTGTTTGTCAGAACACCAAACAACCTCAACATTTTTCGTTTCAATCTTCCAAATTAGGCCATGTCCCCGGATGGTGAGGCTATAGTCACAGGAGCGGGAGACGAGACCCTGCGCTTCTGGAATGTATTCAGTAAGACGCGTTCAACAAAGGTGAGAAAACTCTGCTGTGTACGCACTGCCAAAACAGCAAGGTGTAACCAAGCCTCTTTTTTACCTCTTTTGCAGGAATCCGTGTCTGTTTTAAATCTCTTTACCAGGATACGGTAACTGTGAAGAATTAGAATAAAAAGTCATTAAAACTCCAGTGTGAGTCAATGGATAGATCATCAACATGGTGCTGAAGACAAAAGAACAAAGGACGTGGAAGTGATGAAAATGAGCAAGTTTTTTGTTTTAAACAGTAGTTTGCCCTGACATGTTGGCCCTGATTATGATTGTATCTTTTTTTTAAGTTTAAGAAAGTAAGAATTTTTTATTTTTTGTATTTCCATTAAGAGATCAAAAGCCTTACTAAAAAATACAGTGTCATACAGTTTTCATCGTTAGTGAATCTGAGATGAGATTATTTTTGGTTTATATCATGTCTTATTTATTTAATGCACTTTTACTTGGTATACTATGTAGAGGCTAAACTGTTTTCAGTTGGAAGATACTGTGGAGACGGATACCATATCATGTTATAACAAAAGTAGGAAAAACTAAACAATGATTGCAGTGATGCCTTGAAGACTTGTTTGGAGTGGCGGGCCGGAAAAAAGCTGCTTTGCTTTTGTGTGCATTAAGTCTGATGCTAAGCATTTGGACATTTATTGTTGGTGACTCTTTGCAGTGTCAGAAGAAATAAAAGATGCAGGCACAGAAGACCCAGTGTCCTTGACATACTTGAGAAACATTTCTTTTCAATGTGTTATGTAAAAAAAAAAGTATTAGTTCACTGGCTGACTTTATAATATTGCAACATGTAAGATTTCTGTTTGAGATTGATTGAAATATATTGCTTAAGCTGAGCTGAACTAATACTAACAAAAAGGTGATGATGTATGAAGTAAATATAAATAAGTGTTTGATGGCTGTTTTGCTCATGCACCTTTATGCATGAAAGAAGGTAACATAGGTTATTTGGTTAAGTTCATGATCGAGATTTTATGCACTAATTTTTTACTTCATGCCTACCACTTTTGATTATGCAATGGAAGAAAAGTGACAGTGACCAGATACTGCTGTACAATTAGGTCCACTTAAAACAGTTAGGGTATCCCCTGTACTGGATCCAACTTTATACAAAATGTTTATCCTTTCTCAAGGATGTTGATAAAAAGATGTCCAAAAATCAGGAGTAATCCAGCCCTCAAAGTGCCACTACACCACTGGAGTGGGTGTATTGGAAAATTTGAGTAGTACTGTATTAGAATATTTTACTTTAGTTTAATGATCGCGTCTAAAGACAATGAGGGAAGCTAAACACAACTTTTTTTAATTGAATGGTTGAACGCCATTAGTAATGGCACATCCATTTTACTAAGTGTATCCATGACAACAACCGACCGCAAACAGAGGGGGCGCTGTCTCAAACGACACGCGCTGACCGGAAGCTATGTGAACGGGCGGGAACTTGGAAAGTATTCATTTTCCTGACAGAATTTTCTGTAGTCCGGAATGCCGTTTGTTTGGGGAACGTAAAGAGGTGTATGCTCGAGTGAATTATACTCAGATAATCATCCAAAGACGACACACGGTTCAAACAAAGTACGCAACTTGACAGCATTTTCAGTCCGTTGTCCTTGCTAATCAGCTAGCTTACTCCAAGTTGTTTTCCGTCAGAATGGCGGATAGAAACTTGGTAAAGGAGTTGAGACGTTGGGCAACAGAGGAGTTTCATTTGCCGCAGGACAGTCTGCCAAATGACAGCTACTTTAAAGCGTGAGTATATGAAATATTGACGTTTAACACTGGACATAAGGGTAATGTTTTCCTCTGTAAAGCAGCACATTTACACTAATGCTGATTGTTTGTTTTCCAGCCTCTGTGTTGGGACTGGAAAGTCAATATGGACGTACATAATCCAACACGTCTTTCAGCCGAGGTCAGCGTTTGTTATGCTACCTATTGATCACTGACTTGGTCAAAGTACAATAGATTAGTCGTTTTTTAGAATATCTTGGCCTATATTTGATTTCTAAGCCATCACATCATCTCATAAACTGCTGTCTGTCTATATCTCTATTCTTAGTTGATGGAAGGACTTGTTTTACTCTGTTTTAGGAATGTGAGGATCATGCGTGGAAATCTTCAGTGGTATCCTTTTTGACTTTGCCTTTTATAGGGAGACACTTGATGGAAATTATGTTTGAATTACATTTGATTGTATTCTGCCATTGAAGGAGACCACCAGTATTCCATGTCACTCCCATTTTTTTTGCATTAAGGTTATAGCATGTCCTGCTCTATAAGCTTGTTATCCACGAATTCCCTTAACATTTTGATCCTCAAGGTACAAATTACTTAAAGACAAAGAGGTAAACCGATTTCTGTTTGCCTCTGCAGCCTCTAGATACCATAGCCACAGTAAAATTAATGTTTGATCACATGTTTGCGTCCCATAGGAAAAACAGGCTGAGGACCAGAGTGAGGCAGCAAAACGTAGAGAGCTTCTGAAGAAAATGGAGCAGGTGAGAGCAGAAATCAGTCAGCTGGACTCTCAGATCAGTGAAACGGAGGAGCAGCTGGCCACCCAAGGTATGTCATTCTCATATTTGGGCTTTGTATCACATGGCAATAATTTTCTGACTGCTAAAAAATGTTGACAATGATGGAAATACACTTTCTTGAAGTTTCATCTGAGATCAAAATAGAAATCCAGGCAACTTCTGCAGTTATCTGCATTCTGTTTGTATCTGTGTGGTCCTGCGTGCCATTTTTTTGATTGTATTTTCACCATTACACAGAGCGATCTATCAGCCATATCTGGGCTGGAATCGGGGACAACCAGGGTCGAGATCTGCTTCTTCAGGCATTCAGGAAACGCTGCAGCTCGGGCCGTAACATACTATCTGATGACATCAGTAGAATCAGCGAACACAGCCAAAGCCTGGATATCACGGCAAGGCAAGTTTCCCCTCTGTAATTTAGACACTTTACATATGCAAATAAGTGGTGCATTATACGTACTATGTTTGTATCCTGTAGGAAAGCAGAAATTGAAGTGCTGTTTGATGATGAGCCTTCCAGTCAAAGAGATGAAGATCTTATCTCCACGGCAGCTGAGGCTCAAGTCTTGGTAATGTTCATGTCCAAATGGTCTTCAGCTGTTGTGATCCAATTAGAGACCATAAAATGACATGTAGATAATTGACAGATTTAGATTTGCGAACCGTTTACACTTTAACAAAACTGACAAGCTTACTTTAGAAAGTCACCCAACTATGGTTTTGAATCATTTGCAGCGTGAGTTGAGAGAACTGTGTGAAGACAGGATCCACTTCTATCAGTCATTACAAGAAAGCGAACTGAAAATGCAGCAGTCTGCAGACAAACAGTAAGGGCTGCAGTAGAAGCACTATCTGTCAGATTTCCCCCCGTTTATTTATAGATTTATACCTGAATTGTTGTTCCACCTTCACAGTGTGACCTGTGAACAGAGAACTGCTGTCTTCCGTTACTGGCTGACCACAGCTGAGGTTGGTGTATTGTCCATAGGATTTCTTATTGCACTTATTTATACACATTTTCAACTTTCAATTGAAAATGCTGTTACTTCTCTCTTCATCAGAAAGTGCTGGGCGATTATCCTCCAAATCACGTCCTCTCGGCTCTGCAGTATTTAGCTTCAAGAGAGCAGAAAAGACTGGAAGAGAAGCTAGCTGCTCTGGATGTGACTCAGGATGTGACAGCTCTGAGGTAGGACGTCATTTGCTTGTATGGGATGTTCTCTTTAACCTGACGGGGGAATGTTTTCGCAGAGTCCTCATGAGAATGCTCTTTGCAGGGTCCGATATGAAAGCAGCCATCTACAGGATATCTCAGCAGAGGAGGATAAGGAGTTACCACCTGTTAGGAGCCTCTTAGAGGTGATTCAGCCTTCATTCAAATTCACCCTAATGCTTAAAAAAAGCTTACATTAAATATTTTCCATTTTCTGTGGATTTTTTGGCTTTCTGGTTCAAGGACACTTGGGAAGAGGTGCAGCAGAGTTTTGTGGAGTTGAGCCAGACTCGCCTCAGAATTCAGCAGCTCAAAAACCAGCTGCAGGCCCGTAAAAAGGAGGCCCAGCAGGAGGTGTCTGGGGTTGCAGATGAACTCCTCAATGACAGCTTGGTGCTGTAAGTGTGATTACACTACACGTTCTTGCTTTAAGCATTTCACTGCTGTTATTTGAACATTGCTGCAGACTCTCTCAAGGTTATGACGATTTATTTTGCAGCAAGGTCACATCTGTGCATTAGGCTAAACACGTTTCCATTACCTGTGTGTTTTTTTAATGATTTGGTCTCTGGTTTGCCACTAGTTCAGCCCTTGAGGTGGAGCTACAGTGCGTGATGCAGGCGGCGAGGCGGGACTACATCAGAGAGCGCTGTATCCAGCTGGACCACCACGCCAAAGGCCAGCAGGAAGAGCTGAGGAGTCTGTGCAGCCAGTGGCAGAGGATTTTGGACTTCAGAAAGCTTGTGGTGGGAGCAAATAAATAAAATGTTGCTGTTTTATTTCTTGTTGATAAACCCGTTGTTATAGTATATCTGTAGAACAGTTATTAATAAATTGTGTACATTTGTGGGGTTGGGTTGCTTGAAAATCTTTTATAAGGTGGAATCTTTTGGGGTGGAGCTGTTATAAAACATGTTGACGTATGTGCAGGTTCTCAGACAGGAGCACATCAGAGGTCTGATTAAGGGGAACTCCACAGCCAAGACACGTCTGGTTCACCTTCAGAAAGAGGTGAGCTTATGATAAACTATTTTAGTAGTTTTAGGGTGGTGTTTGCATTTCATCGTTTTCTTTGTCGGTGGAGTTCCTAATCCTTTTTTTTTTTTTATTCTCGATCCTTCAGCTGCAGGAGTTCATTGAGAGCAAACTGGTGCCACAGTTTGAAGTCGTCATCGCTGCTGCCAACAGTTTACGCAGCTCCGTCTCAAAGGAGGCCAAACAGTTTGGAACGGTTTCACTTCTTACTCTGGACTGCAGAACTATTGATGGGTAAGAATGTGCCTCCTAATGAGGAGGAGAAATGTAGACACAGACTTGACTTCCTAAGCATGACACGAACACACAATGAAAAGATGAAAATGTAATTGTGCTCCAAAGGTGACGACAAATGTTGGGAATTTAAAAAAAAAAAAAGCCAAATATTTCTCACCTTTTTTTCTTTTTTTTTAGAACACAAAGAGTTCCTGCATCTCGGCTGTCCATCTACCGAGTGCTGTCCCCAAACTTCAGCAGCTTGTGTCAGAGCCTGACATTTCCTCTCTACAAGGTAACCATCTGATGTTGGTTGTAAAGCAGCAACTGGTTTATATTCTATAACGATATGTGGTCCCAAAGTCTCTTAAAAAGTAAGATAAAGTAACAGTGTGTTTATATAGACTAAGAATGAACCCTCTTTTTGTAAGTCGCTTTGGATAAAAGTGTCTGCTAAGTGCATAGATGTGTGTGTGTATATATATATATATATATATATATATATATATCTTTTGCATAAGTTCATTAATATATATATTAACATATAGGTAGGATAAAGTATGTTTTATAGGCTTCAGCTGGAGATACTCAGCCCATGGGTCACTGCCTCTACTTTTAAATGAATATAGTAGGTATAGGTATAGTAGGAATTTCAATGTGAAAGTAAGTACAGGATCTGTAGATATGTATATGATTGTCATTTGAATTATATATCTATCTTTTGAAATGGATAAAATTACATTTCCCTGTTTTGTTAAATTGTTCTCTTTTGTATGTATTTTGATTTATAACCAGCGGTTGATGATTTTAGTATAGAAAATATCAATCAAACCCAAAGTTTATAGCTATTCTTGCAAGCCTCTGGGTATTTTCAGACGTTTTTTTAGCAATAAGTTCAACTTTGTCACCAGTTTGGGAGTCACTACTTATCAAGATGTTGTTAGTCTCTTAAAGAGCTTCTTTCCTCTCCCAGCTTTTTTAACCACCTCCTAACTCCAGAAGTAGTCCTGTTCTCAGTGCCTTAAACCTGCCTGTGGCTGCTTCTGATGAAACACAGTCTGTCCCATAATCACAAAGTTGATAAAAATAGCATCCACAAGACCAGCAGTCTTGCTTTTTTATGGCAGCTGATTTCTGAAAATCTTTCTCACCCTGTAATTTTTTCTTCTATGTTTTTGCCTGTTTGTTGATAGATTGTCTTTTCTGTGATGGTCTGACTTTGATAGAAACTAACTTCCCTGATTGTTGCACTTCAGGCTCCAGAAGACTTGTGTGCCCAGTCTCGGTCCCAACAGCTTGAGCTGCGTTTCCTCCGTCAGCTGCTGCACCTTCACACCATCACCATGCAGAGGCTGCAGAAGGAAACGGAGCAGCTCCCTGCATCCGATCAAAAGGGTATTGTTTAAGTTGGATTCAAATGGGCCACAACAAACTGTAGTTAGGAACTCTTTGCACACGTGCAGTTTATAATGAATATTTTCTTACGAAATCCTATCCACCTTTGCTACTTTTCTTAGCTCTGCTGTCTAGAGTGATGGAGGAGGATCAGAACCTTCTGAAGTCTTTGCTACCAAGAGCCAGAAACCTCAGCAGCTGCTGTGCAAAAGGCTTCTCCTATGGGGACCAGGTCAAGCTCGCCATCTCTGACTGGTGAGGCACATTTAAGCTCATTCCTGTTTAGCTGTCCAAAGTTTTAGGGAACATTTTTAAACATATGAATGTATTGCTTTATAGTGTTTTTGTTAAAAATGGAGGAAATTGAGTGGGCTGGTTATGTTAACCACATGTGCCAGAGAAAAGCAAAGTGAATGTATCAGACGGTAAACGATTTCTTCACAACAAAGAACCTCTTTCTGCTGCTCCTATTTCAACCTGCTGCTTTAACAGGGATTCATTCCACCTGCATTACAAAGAGAGAAGACTTTACACACACTAGAGGCTCACCTCCTTTGTCCCTCAGTCCTCCTATTTGGGTTAGTTAGACTGACTGAAACAGTCGGTTAAATAATGAAGCTGAGTTCTGCCTAACGTTGGCTGAAATCTGTTGTAGTGTGGATGTCTCACCCTGGTATCCTCCAGCTCATATCTACAGAATTAGACTACAACACAAATAGGAATCAAGTAAAATATTTGGGCGTGCAAGCCCTCAAATATTGCTTTCATGATAAGTTATTTGGCAATTTGTACAAAAGGTTTCGAGCAACCTTAATGCCATTCTGATTGCCGTGTCACTGCATCTGTTGGTGAGTAAAGTATGATTTGTTAACGCCTGTTTTCTGTTTTGTGTGTGTTCATATGTGTAGGTGGGATAAGCCGGCCCAGCACGTCCTGCCTGAGCTCAGCAGAGGAGGACTGACGTTCCAGCAGTGGCTTCAGAGGTGGAAACTCGCCGCCAAAGCCTCTTAGTCAGCAGCTCGCTTTCCCTTTTAGCACCTTCCAGTTTGCAATGTAAATGTGATGAAATTATGTGGAAAAATCGTGGATAAATAAATGCAAATGAACACATTCGTTCCTTGTCTTCCTTCAAATGCATGTTCAACAACATGGAGTGGTCCTGTTGTTTTAAAGTGTCCTCAACGGGGAGACCGGCTGACGATGCTCGCATCATTGGGTCTAGTTCCCACTGGCAGCCCGGTGTTGGTGTGTCTCTGTCGGGGCTCCGTCCATCATTGATCCTGTAGCTGTAGGGACGGCGTAAAGTGGACGGCAGCCGCTCCACATAGAGCAACATTGTTCCTTTGTAGCAGTGAAGGGGGAGTGGAGCAATCTGATTCTTGAGAGCTGGGCTCCTCCCACCGCTGCGGCTGCGCACTTCAATTTTTCACTCCTTTTTTTCCCCTATTTTTCACTCCTACTCTGGCTTCCGGACGCCAAGATAGACCGCTGCCGCCGAATTTAAAGAGACAGGCGATAGTTATTTTAAATACGTTAAACGGCAACCATTGTCCCCGAGCTTATTTTCCGACGCTTTATGTCTCCGCTTGTTTAATTCGATGGCGATGTTGAATCAAAGTCGCGGCGAGTAACAGCTTGTCTGTCATCACTCGCTACTCTTCTGGATTTCCCGTCCTTTTTGCCTCTGTGCCGAGACTATCCAGCCAGGCAAAGTAGGGTTGCTCGCTGGCAGGCTGGCTTCCCGACCGAGAGCAAGGTTTGTCTGCTAGCCAACAACTGGAGGTAACATCGAAGCTTCCCTCTTAAGTTGTGGTAGCGGCTCTCGAGCCTCCTCTCGCCGGGATAATGGCGAAGATTCAGGCGCACAGCACCGCGAAGCAAATAAACCAAATCCAAGACAAGCCTTACGTTATAACACAAAAGCAAGTGCAGCAGCAGCACTTCCAGAAGCTCAAGGTAAGAAGACAACGGACACGACAAGGGAAAAGTCCTCAGAGTCACAACCATTTTGTTCGCCTGATCATTGCATTGGATTTATCGTCGAGAGTAGAGAGAGGAACGGCTGGCTAGCGTTAGTTAGCTCGCTGGCCTAATAAAAGTAATTCACAGCCAAACGGCCGAACACTGACATGTAAGGTTAGACGTGGAGGCTGTTTTTCATTAATGGATGTGTGAGTGACAGTGGGGTGACTCAGTTTGCGATACTTTCTTATTTACGCCATCAAAAGCGGCGGCTGCTGCGAGCAAACGTTAAGTCAGACCTTCGTTGTGGGAAGTTCCTCCTTGTTGGCTTTTTTTTTTTTTTTTCAGACAGCTTGAACAAAGTGGAGTGGAGAACGTCAGCCAGGCCAACCAAGAACGGCGTCTTCAGTTGATTAGCAGCTTCATTTCACATTTCTTTGTTGAGCTGTGTTGTGTATAGTGCCGTTTCCCCCCGACGCGGCACTCTTTCTGGCCACAGACCAACACGGTCTGAACGTATTGTGTAAATTTGTAAGCGGGCGGTTGTTGTGAGTGTACGGTGAGTTTATTGTCGTCCGCTGACTGGCGGTTGGCTAACGTTAGCTACAACGACACTCTTCAAATGTAGACTGTTGGTGACAATGCTTTGTGTGGACAAATGTTCTTGTCGCTATCGAAACGAGCTCAGTTGTGGTCGATAAAAAAGCTGAGCAGCCCAGCCGAAGGCAGCTGCCCGCCGTGTGTTTCCTCCGGCCGCCTGCGTCTATTTTAGCGGTTACTCGCATTGTACAGCTTGTTCTGCTAACTGGTGGGTTTGTTGTTGGAGCACTTAAGCCTGCAAATGTAAAGAAAGCCCAAACATGTCCGTAGAGCTATACATGCAGCTCCCCTGCAGACGTAGAAGTCACATGGTGTTGAGAAACGTCCTCAAGTGAACAGGGTTTTACTTTAAACGGAGCAATAGTCAAATGGACCGTGCATGCAGTTATTTAGATTTAATGCATTTCTATGGTGGAGACCAGGAGTTGTCAGATATGTGCAACATCTGTCACATCCCTCTTGAACATCACAGGATATTGCGGGGAAAAAAAATACTTCAAATGTCAGCCTGTGACTAATTTGACTTTGTGCTTAACTGCTTTATTTTCTCTCTCAACGTGTTTAGGTTGAAGATGCCTTGTCATACCTGGACCAGGTCAAAATTCGTTTTGCCAACGATCCTGGCATATACAACAAGTTTCTCGACATCATGAAAGAGTTCAAGTCGCAGAGGTATTGGTGCATACATGTACACAAATAAACAAGACTTCTGGAGCCTGTCTTATGTGTGTGGCAACTCTGGTCTGGTGCTGGTGTCTAATATTAAGTCAGTTGTCTGGGTTTCGCTGCATAATTTGGTGTTCACCACCCGTGTTTATGAATGCTGTTCTGTGTTTTCATATTGCCAGCTGGCAAGTATAAACATCAGTCAGCAAGTAAAAGATGCTCACAAACACTTGCTGCTGCTTCCAGCATTATTTACGGTCATTTTGAAACATGGAGAGGAGATGAGACAAACACGCCATCTTGTAGTGTGCTCCATGACGCGAGATGGAAAAAGTTCCAGGCAGATGTGTGGAGTGGGGTTGGTTCTCCATCCATGGATGAGCAAACTGGTCATTAGATCTGCAAGTAAAAGAAGCTCTGACATGGCAGCAGACCAGAGTGGGCAAAAATACTGACTTTTGACACTTTTTAAGATGCACACTACTTTCCATTAACAGTGATTTAACATTTGAGTCATTCCAGTGGTATCCATTGGTGACAGCAGTCTTTCTAGTTAGTAATGCTCTAAGAGCATTCCCACATCACTTTTAACTCTGCTGTTGTCAGAGCTGTCTGCGGTCCCCTTACATTTTCAGAAGCTTCTGTGCACCTCATCTTTGGCTGTATTTCTTTTTAGTGGGTGAGAGAAACTTAGCCTGCCCCTGTTTTGTCTTGAACAGCATTGACACTCCGGGGGTAATAAACCGCGTGTCACAGCTCTTTCATGGACACCCAGACCTGGTCTTGGGCTTCAATGCCTTCCTACCACCAGGCTATCGGATAGAGGTTCCAAAAAATGGGATTGCCTTTCTTCAGTCTCCAGTTTCTGCACAGGTAAGGAACTCTCTGTTTACCCTCTAATACTCCACACATTGTCAATCATTTATTTATCTTAAAGTCTTTCAGACTTTCACAAGTATGCCACCTAAAACTCACGGCCTGCTAAAAGGTACTCCATGTTTAAGCCCAGAGGACTTTTGAATTCTTAAAAGGAAACAGGTGTGCTTCTGCTACTCTGAATTTCAGTTTTAAAAAAAGGGAGGGGGGGGCAAGTTGCCTTATTGGGAGAAATTCACCAGAGCACTGCTACTTTGCACAAATCCATCCCTCACAAAATCCTAGTGACGTCACACTGAGCTGCTTGAATGTAAGGTATTTTTGTGGTGGAGTTTCCCTTCTTGGCAGATTCTTGCACGTTTGTTTTCTGCAAGTAGACAATAGTGCATGCAGAGACTGTTCTATTTTCAAGGAAGTTTACCCCAACTCAGACAACTTCTCAGTTCAGATTACTTTTGATATGATTTAATAAGTGTTGCAGGTCTGTGTGGAAACCCAAGGGACAAATACCAGCCGTGTCTTTCCAAAATCTTGTTAGCAGAGTAAGCAGTTTGATAAATTAATGTTTTCAATCTCAGAAACTAAAAAAAGGTTTATACGTAGAGTGGCGGCTGATTATATTATTGTGGTATCAGTAAAAAGCAAAAGGCCACACTGGGACACTCAACATTTAAAAAAGCCCCCAAAACAGTTTGAAGTTATGATTTTCATAAATTACGTTGCTTATAAGTCCTATGAAATAAGCCATGAAGTTTAGAGAAATAGCTTTCTGTACAGAATACTGGTTTTGAGCGGGTCTGTCTCACGGCTGCTGATGGCTCTCCCACCAGGTGTCCCCGGGTCAGCAGGGGAAGAGTGTGAGCACCCCGGCAGTGGCTGTGACCTCAGGCGGTGCTGCTCACACCGAAGCCGGACCGGCCCACAGCAGCGAGGTTAAAGCAGCCTCCTCAGACTCCCTCTCCTCCACCTCTGCTGGACCTCCAGAGCCTCCCACTAGACTCTCTCTTCCACTGATGAGCAGAGAGAGCCAGAACCAGGCCACCACCTCCTCCGTGTCCCCACCAGCTTCAGAAACCAGCCCTGTAGAGTTTGACAGTGCCATCAGCTACGTCAACAAGATTAAAAACCGATTCCTGGACCACCCAGAGATTTATAGAGCGTTCCTGGAGATCCTTCACACGTATCAGGTACAGAACAAATCCAGAAGTGATGGTAGATTTTGGCACATCTTAGGAAACTTATAGTCACTGTCAAGCTTCAAAGTTCTGACACTTAATGGAGCATTGATATTCAAACAGCAGTGAAAGTAACAATTAGTCCCATTTCTGAAGCAGCCTTTTGGTCAGAGATGCTTTTCCTTTTCCTGACGTGATATTATTGACCATTCCTTGCTTTGTCCACATTACACTGGATTCTCTCATGTGAACAAAATGACCTCCCTTGACCCATCAGAAGGAGCAGCTGGAGGTGAAGGAGAGTAGGGGCAGCCGAGGCAGCAGCGGGATGACCGAAGACGAGGTGTTCTCTAAAGTGGCCAGTCTCTTCAAGGGACAAGAGGACCTGCTGGCCGAGTTTGGACAGTTCTTGCCTGACGCCAAGAGATCACTGGTCAGTCAAGCAAGAGATTGACCTCTCAAAGCATATACCAGCTTTAAAGGTTCTGAGATTAGATCATCTTCAATTTTGGCCTCAAATAAATCTTCCCTCCAGTTTTTAAATCGAGCTCACTCTTGAAATGTCTTTGACATTTAGTACTGGAGTGATCATTCAGTAATCCCATACAAATCATTTTTACATTTGACCATGGAGTAGGCAGGGTTTTTCTACACTTGGAAGCAGTATGTGGAAAAACAAGCTTCTTTTATAAAGCACATATATGAAAGTCATGAATTTAGTTTTGTGAAGTATCAATCAATCTAATTGATAAAGCAGATTAGAAAACCTCTCACACTTTGCTGTGCTGAACAGTTAGAAGTAAAAACAAGCAAGGAGCAAATAAATGCAGAAAAAGTTAGCAATTATCATAAGGATTCAAGGGGAAGTTTTTAGCCTAGATTTAAAAGAGTCAGTGGAAGGGCAGCTCTTAAGGAGGTGGATGCTGTTCCATGGTCAGCGGGTTTAAACTGCAAAGGCACCTGAGTCTAAAGTATGAGCATGCAGCCCCGGGCCAGCCGAGCCCAGGGATTCCTCCCTATGGAGGAAAAAGGAGTGAAGGATCTGTGATGGAAGTCGGAGCTAGTCCATGCTGTGCTTTATAAACAAACAGAAGCAATTTAAAGACAAAATAAATCTAAATTTAACCAGTTAGAAAGGTCAGCACGGGGCTGACGTGGTCTAATTTCTGGTTCCTGTTTTAAGTCTGATTTAGAGTATAAAACCTTTCTATGAATAACTACTAAACTTTATCATTACTTGGGTTGAAGGAGGAAATGAAAGTTTCATTGTAACTGGTGTGCATTCAGCCTTTCACAACTTTGCTGTGTTTTTATTCTCTTGTAGTTTACAGGGAGCTCTCTGACTGCAGGGAAAGAGCAGCTGAAAAGGTCTGAGGAAGAGGACGCCATAACCAAACAGAATAAAAAGAGACCCAGGCCCATTCTCCTACAGCATATGTCCCCACTGCTCAAGGTAAACTTTCTGCCTGAAGCAGTGCACCAACATCTTTGAGAAATATCTGGGCTGTACACCTGCAGAATCTGTTCTTCAGACTTTGAGCTGGAAGTCAAATTCTGACTTAAATCACATGAGCAGGGCCTTTTTAAAAAACAATATGGTCTATGAAAGCTCGTGTGTCTCCAAATGCCATTTTGGTCCCCTTTTCCTAGCTTAAGACATTTTAGTTCAGTTTGCTGCTGTACAGTAAGATGGATAAGGTTTTTTAAAGATGATTAAATCTCGGTTTCCCTTTCTCGCCTTATTTAGAAAAAAATGAAGTATTCGTGTACCAAAGATCCGTCTTTTGCTTCAGTTGGCAAACATGGAGTCTTAAGAGAATTCTCTTTCTTTGATAAGGTGAGAAGAAATAGTTTTTCATGAGTACGTTGTTTTTCTTGTTTGTTAAAACCACTGTAGTTGTGTTGGTAAAGCTCACAATCTCATGTCATCTTGACATGCTTTTATGAAGCCAGTGTTCTAATTTCCTCATCAACCCTTCCTTCTTTCAGGTCCGTCGCCTGTTTAAAAGCCAGGAAGTGTATGAGAACTTCCTGCGCTGCATCGCCTTGTTTAACCAGGAAGTAGTTTCTGGAGCAGAGCTGCTACAACTTGTCACTCCTTTCTTGGGGTGAGTTGATGAAAAGATAGATAAATGTGGGAAAGAAATAGCTTTTAATCTATTTGCAAACTCACAGCTAGCTCACATGATAGTGTGTCATTACAGATCTTTAGCCATTACACTCAGGTCATCATGATGGTAAACATTTGGCTTCGGCTCAGATGCTCCTCTTCTAACTCATCTCTTACTCATATTTTCTCACATCTCCTTTACAGGAAGTTTCCTGAGCTTTATACACAGTTCAAGTCATTTCTGGGAGACAAAGAGCTCTCTCATGCTGTGTCGGGGCTGTCGGATCGTTACATGGAAGGGGGAGGGGGCAGAGAGGTGGATTATGCCTCTTGCAAGCGCCTGGGGTCCAGCTATAGAGCATTGCCCAAGACCTATCAGCAGCCTAAATGCAGTGGGCGCACTGCCCTATGCAAAGAGGTACTAATCTAACACCCAAGCTGATTTGAACCTGAAGTCCCGTAAACCGTTTTCACATTTCTGTTTGAAGTTTGAAAGCGGCCTTGTTTCCATTTTCTGTCCTTTCTGCCACAGCAGGATTGTGTTGTACACACTGTTGTGTGTGTATGTACGCTGGTGCACAAGTAAAATAAAAATAAAAAAGAGAATGCCATTCAGAAAAGTGTCAATCAGAGCACATGATTGAGAGGTGGTTCATCAGAACCAGAACTGCCTGTCTGTGGGAAGGTGTAATTTACCGTTTCATCCCATCATGCTCTTCATGTGTGCAGGTACTGAACGACACGTGGGTGTCATTCCCCTCCTGGTCAGAGGACTCCACCTTTGTTAGCTCGAAGAAGACTCCTTATGAGGAACAGCTGCATCGCTGTGAGGATGAACGATTTGAGGTATCTATTAATCTCCAACCAATAAATCTGCTTGTGCTTCTTCGAAAGATGACGTTCATCCACCCATTTGTGACCCAGCTCTTAAAACGGTTTTTGTTGTTTTGAAATCACATGTTTGTGCAGACATAGCACTTATCGGAGCACTGTGGTGAATTTTGGCTCTGTCTTTGTCTTTTCTAGTTGGATGTTGTTCTGGAGACAAACTTGGCAACCATCAGGGTATTAGAGAGTGTGCAGAAGAAGCTGTCCCGCCTGTCACCAGAAGACCAGGACAGATTCAGATTAGACGACTGCCTGGGCGGCACCTCTGAGGTCATCCAGCGTCGTGCTGTGTATCGTATCTATGGTGACAAAGCCCCTGAGATCATTGAAGGACTGAAAAGGAGTCCTGCTACCGCTGTGCCTGTGGTGCTGAAGAGGTCAGGATTGTCATTGACTGTTTGAACAAGTTCTATAACAGATGTAACTGGTCCAGATTGCACCATCATCTGCAGCGACACTGATACTTCCTGCTTTTATATGCACATGTATTAACATAATGTTCATTTAACTCATTAGTAAAATGTTCCAAGTATGATTTTTATATAGTTGTGAATAGATAATTAACACCCCCCCCCCCTTTGCTGATCATTAACAATGCCAGTAGGGATATTTAAGCAAGTCAGATGTGAAACTGCTAAGTGTGAGTAGAATCGTTGTCTAGGCAGAGAGTGATTATATGTCCTGATATACAAAAATTATTAAAAAAAGACTAAGAAAAACACATTGTCTTTTGTAGCTATACCTGCCAAACATAGTGCTACTTAACTTTTGTTGGCATAGCTGTGTTCTGTAAAGTCTCCATATGAAAGTAATGCATTTCCCTTTCAGGTTGAAAGCCAAGGAGGAGGAGTGGAGAGAGGCTCAGCAGGGTTTCAATAAGATATGGAGGGAGCAGTATGAGAAAGCCTACCTGAAGTCTCTCGACCACCAAGGAGTCAACTTCAAACAGAATGACATGAAGGCACTGCGGTCAAAGAGTCTCCTCAATGAGATAGAAAGCATCTATGACGAGGTAAAGCTGATCACCTGATCACCGACATCCTGTGCTGCTGTTCCCGTCCTCTAAACAAAACGCCATGACTGAGAACTGGAAAATTAGTCTTATTTTTCTTAACTGGAATCTAATCCCTTCTTTAATTTCTGATAGACGTGCATCAGCAAACTGTGCTTATTTAAAATGCCACCATGTTCCAACCGTCCAATATTTGAGTGTGCTTCATTTCTCAGTCATGCTGCTTTTGAAGTTGAGCCTAACCTTTCATTCCGCGTCTTTAGAGTATAGATTGATTTGATAATCACAACAAAAGACTCAATCTAGAGTGAAAAATGGTTGGAAGCTCACAGCAACTTGTTATTTTCTGGCTGCAGAAGCGATTCATGTAAAGGGTCCACAGTAAGCGTTCTTTTGATTGAGCTGGTTCTGCTGTTTTCTCTCATGTTTTCTTTTGATATTTGAGCAGAACTGCTTTTTAAGAGCAAACTAAGTTGTTTTGTTTGCCATCAGTTAATATAGACAGAAATTTGTCTTGAGTCAATTATAATGTAGTTTTAGTTGGATGGGGATCTTTAAATGATGCATAACGTGCTCTGTGTTCTTCTTTTTCCTTTCTGTACCTCAGCGTCAGGAGCAGAGCACAGAGGAGGGTGGAGTCGGCCAGCAGAGCCGGAACGGCTCCGGCTCTGCCTCCTCCACTGAACCCCACATGGTGTTTACGTATGAGGATAAGCAGATCCTAGAAGATGCTGCCTCCCTGATCATCTACCACGTCAAACGCCAGCCCACCATCCACAAAGACGACAAGGACCACATAAAGCGCATCATCCAGCACTTTGTCCCCGACCTCTTCTTCTCCCGCCGCGGGGAGCTGAGCGACACCGAGGACTGGACAGATGAGGAAGCTGACCCGGATGAAGGAGGAGAGAGGAGGAGTGGATCCTCAGCAGCTGTGTCAGTAGCGGGAGGAAACGGTAATCCCAGCAATGCTCCGGAGGCAGCGGCCACCACGGGGGGCCAGTCTCAGCCCCAGCCAGCGCAGTCCCAACAGCAGCAGCAACTCAACGGAGAGTCCAGGAGAAGGCGCTGCAGTCCATCTCAGCCGGCCGACACCGAGACATCCAACACGTCCAGCAGCCTGAGCCAGCCTGCAGGGACCGCCACATCCAACCCCGGGTCTGCGCCTATGGAGACGGGCCCCGGAGTGGTGGGCGAGAAAGTGGACCTCCGAGACCCTGAAGCGGAACACCAGAAGGAGCTGGACGGGGTCTACAACCTCTTCTTCGTCAACAACAACTGGTATTTCTTTTTGCGGCTGCACCAGACTCTGTGCTCGCGGCTGCTGAGGGTCTACCGGCAGGCTGAGCGGCAGCTGCTGGAGCACCGGGCCGAGCAGAGCCGGGAGAGGCTGCTGATGGCAGAGGGAAGGAGGGAGAAGGCATGTGACCTGGCCATGGAGCTGCGCCTTAAACAGCCCAGTGAGTCCCACTGCTCATCACGCCCTTTACACAGGCTTAGATCATTCAAACTCGCAGTTTTCTGATGTTTGCTAGCCACATAACGGTACCATCGTCATGTTAAAGGATAATAAACTGTTGGGGATTTATTAGAATACATTTTTTGTGCTTGGCATGCTAGACAGAGTAATGGGGGTTTTCCACTCAGTGCTGCCTGGCTGGACTCGACTACTTTGTTTTTTTCATTTCCATTTGGGGTTTGGCGCCTCCTAACCTACACTGCCAGGGTTCCAAGCGGGGCCGATGGCAGACTGCCCAACGCTGGTTGGCCAGGGAGTCACGTGACTGGATGCGCCAACCCCCGACAATATTAAAAACGTGGCAACAACAAAAGGCTAATTGTACTAGGCAACAATTTACTGTACAGAATGTTGGGGACACTCATTTAGATGGTAAGCTGTGATTTGGTGTTTTGAGGCGAGGATTTTATTCAAAAGGCACTGATGTGCACTCTGTTTATGGACGGTCTCCATGGAAACAAACCAAGATGTGTGTGTGTTGTTGTCTTACTGAATTCAAGTTTAGACCTATTGATTGGAGCTTGTTCTGAACCGGAAACCCACAGATAGGCTATCTACACTTGGTTGGAAAAAAAAATCCACAATAACTTGCTGATGTATTCCAGAGTCACAATTAAATTCACGCTAACAATGGGCTGGCTTGAACCCGGGCGGGTTTCAGAGAGACGTGTCAGTGTGATGAACCAAACTCCCACTGGAAGGGGAAATGCTGCCTGTTCTGGGTTTTGCTAGCGGGGTGGTGGGGTTGCTGGAGCCTAAGCTAGCTGTGGTTGGATGAGAGGGGGGGTACTCTTTGGCCTGTTGCCAACCCATCACAGGACTTCCCTAACCAGAAGTCCTCATAGTGTAGCTATGCAGTGTTTGTCTGACTAACCAGTGTTTTTGTGATGCACACATTCTGTGGCAGCTGAGACTTTTAATGCTGGGTACGCTTTTGTAACTTGTGAAGCCCATTCTTCACCTTAGTTTTTGTTATGCAAATTGAGGGTAATCAATGCACAGGGAAATGAGTCGCCCTTTTGTTCTTTTTTTTCTTTATTTTTCAGTATAATGGCCATAAAAGTGAGGACACGCTGCAGAAAGAGTTTTGCAGTTTGCGTTATCGTAATGATCTGAACACATGGTGTGCTCCTAAACTAGAGGCAGTTTATTAAAGCCGCCTCAGTCAGTGGCAAAAGCGACAACCAGCAGCTATGAGGCTGACGGATGTGCGACTGTAAGGGCACGCCATTGTCCCGCTGGCTCCCCAGTCCTGCGTAGTTTTGTACTAAAACACGGTGCTGTAGCTGTTGGTGTCCTAAACCACAGCGTGGTTGTGGCTTTTTGTTTAGAAAGAGAAAGATTCTAGTGGCTCTCTTGCTGCAGCACCTCTTTGGTACTTCATGCTTGTGGAGCAGTGGTGTCTGGTGTGTGTGTGTGTGCGTGTGTGTATGTGTGTGTGCGCTGTTTCCGCTGAATGATGTCAGCGTTACTTGCCCCGGCAAACATGAATCTTCTTGCATCTGTGACCTTCTTCTTGCCACCACAGAGACGCGTGAGTGGTGGATCGGCTTCAAACCCCCTCGCTGCCTCTTTGCTTTCACGCATGGTGCTGATTCACAAAAAGGCGCATCAGTCAAAGCTTGAAAGTCATATGTTAAAAGGGCTTATGTAATGCTACTTTATCCCCCTCACACCCATGAAATGTATTGGCTGGTGTTGACTCGGCCTTTTCCCAGAGGTTGAAGCTTAAATGCAGTGAAATCAGAAGAAACATGGGGAGGGGGAAGTCTCTGCTGAGCCATCAGACGATTACTTTTATACAAAAAGATTGTTGTCATCAAATTATGAAAGCACACCAAAGCATTCTCACAACTACTGATACATGTAGTCATTTAGCCCTGTTGGAGGGCTAAATATGCTAACGTGTGCAGATCCACACCCATTCTAAGCTGAGTTGGAACAACAAACTGATGAGCTCTCCCTCCACAGGTGAGGTGGAGCTGGAGGAGTACTACCCAGCCTTCCTGGACATGGTGCGCAGTCTGCTGGATGGCAACCTGGACTCCACACAGTATGAGGACACGCTGAGGGAAATGTTCACCATCCACGCCTACATTGGCTTCACCATTGACAAGGTCATCCACAACATCATCCGGCAGGTAAGAACGGGGGCCGCTTTCCTTCTGGACGTTAAGGATATCGGTTCCACTAAAAGTGACCGTCTTTCTCCCATATCAGCTGCAGCACCTTGTGAGCGACGAGGTGTGCCTGCAGGTGGTGGAGCTGTACCTGGCTGAGAGGAAGCGAGGGGCAGCAGGTGGGAACCTTTCCTCTCAGTGTGTGAGAGCCGCATGGGAGACCAGCTACCAGTGGAGAGCAGAGAGAGTCATGGCTGAGGAGAACTGCTTCAAGGTGAGTCCTGTGATGAGGGCTACAAAACACACGAAGCCAGGTTTACACTCCCATTACCTCCATTCTATGCAGAAGAAATGAGCACATCACAGCTGCGGGGTGATTTCAGAAAGTAACAAAACACTCAGAGCACTAAATGTACCCAGAAAAGCAAAGAGCATTGTTAATGTCTGCGATTTTAAGGGCATGGTCTCGATGGTAGCACATGAAGGCTGAAAGCAGCTTACTGCTCACTATTGCTCTTCTTTTTATCCTCCAGAATTGATTGGTTTTATTTGTGTAAAAATGTTGAATTCTGTTTATTTATTGCAGTTACAGGTCTAACGTTTCTGAAATTGGTTTCCATGACTCGCCTCAGAAATCATTTTTAGCCACAGTTGTTGGCAACCTTTTTTCATCAGTGACATCATTTTCATGTGCTGTCCCTCCGTCTCTTTGCCATTAGGTGATGTTTCTCCAAAACAAAGGCCAGGTGACGTTGACCGTGGAGCTGCTGGACACTGAGGAGGCTCAGGCTGACGATCCGCTGGATGTTCAGGTAACAGAAACCCTTTTTATGAGCCCATTATCTCACTGGGACCTCAAAATGAATAATCAGACTCAACTCAATCATTTATTCATCTTGTATCTTGCTAATGGCAGTGCCTGTCAAGCTACATGGAACAGTTTGTTGGAACAGAGTCCAGCCTGTGCTCCCAAGCAGAAGGATACTTCTTCAAGCCTGTGTTTCTCCCCAGGTATGATGCTTAAAAATGATGGGAACATATTTTATTCACACACAAGTATTCATTTATATGCTCTTGATCTCTGATGCCAAAGGTCAGCATTAAAACATTATTGGCAACTTCTTACCCACTAAAATGTTTTCTTATCATTTGACAAAATAAATCTATCAATTAATAGTTAAAACATTTTGTTGAGGTAAAAGAATCAACATTACCTGAATTTGTGCCCTGAGACATAAGGAATTAAAGCTATTCTGTCTGACTGAATCTGAATTCAAACTGCAACTCATGCTTGTGTAAAGTTTTGTGGCATGGCTATAGGAGTGAGTGAACAGGAAACAAACCTGCTTTATAGCTTTATTTTAAAGCTTTTAAGCCTTATTTAAAGTTGTATGTGGCTTGTGTTTTTAGATTTAGTGTCATAAAAAGGTTTGCTCTGACTTTTAGGAGGTTGTTACAGATGCAGCCATTTGTGGAGACGATCAGGAGCGAACTTCTCAGTGTGTGTGTTTGTGTGTGTGTGTGTCTCGTTCAGGAACCTGCGGAGCTTCCGGCGCTGGCAGGTGCGGCAGGTGGAGGCCATGCGCTGCCGGAGAGAGTGGCACCGGCAGCTCGGAGTGGAAAATGCCGGCAGCCTGGACTGTCGATTCAAACTCAACACTCACAAAATGGTGTTTGTCATGAACTCTGAGGACTACATGTACCGCCGCGGGGCGCTGGTGAAGGCCAGGAAGGTAGCTACTTTAAGACCGTCACCCATTTGATGTGATTAGTTTCCCTGTTGTGCCGTGGATCTGTGGGCTTGGTCAACGAGCCACTCAGTGAGCAGCTTTGCAAAGTCAGAATGAATGAGCTTTAGCTTGGTCTTTTTTGTGTGTTCACACTGCAGCCTTCCCTGATCAAACTATGCTTGTCCCGATCCGATATTTGGATCGGATCGGCCGCCGATATTTACAAATAAAATGCGTATCAGCCGGCAGGAGAAAATGCCGATCCAGTTTTTTTTTTTTTAAAGCCTGATCCCACACGAGCATTAGCATTTGTAACCCATAGGTCTGTGTCCTAACCATTAAGTTGTTATGAGAGTAAATCCCTGTTCAACATGAGTCTGACAACTAAGTAAGTAGAATAAATAACTTTAATACATGCTCTGATAGGCCAGGATTAGTATCGGAAGTGCAAAAAGCTGGATCTGGACATCCCTAGACCACACTGCCAGTGTTTCCACTGTAGAAACAACACGATCTGCACACACTCACTGAGTTTAAACTGGCTCAAAGGGGTGTGTGGGTGAATCTAAGCATCACAGAGGGGAAAAACCTGAACTTTCCTTCTTTTAGTTTGTCACAGGCGAGGTTCTGACCGGTTCTCTTGTTCCTCTGCAGTCCCAGCACAGGGTGGCAGTAATCCAGCACCAGCGCTTTGACAAGTGGCACCAGGGCTGGCTGGCCGACCACGTCACGGCCTCAGCCGAGCGCTCGGTCCAGAACTGGCTAATGGGGGAGGAGGAGGAGGACTTCCTACCGTGCAAGACCACCTGTCTGTCTACTGAGGTCAAAGGACAGATGGTCAACAGATACCAGGTTCATTACAGCAGTAGCAAAGCCCCTTCCTCACCGTGAAGGTGTGCTGAGTGCCGGACACAGGACTCACTCACAGAGGTAAATGCATGGACTCTGAGGACATCTGTACACTAAACACAGACATAAACAGCTGCAGGGCCACCGCTCTGCCTCCCTCCACAACCCGTTCACTCCTTCACCTCTACTAACGAATGGAGGGACTGTCACACTTGGTGAGTGGGTGAACGGGTGCATGGGGGGGTGCGGTAGTGCTGCGGAGACAGGGCCGACAGACAGTGGGTGAGGGTTCAGAGTGAGCTCTGTCCTGATGGATGGGAGGAATTGGACACAACGGCACAAACGGAGCTCATCTGCAGCATCTTCAATATTCTATCTTCTCACGTGGCACTAAAGTTAATGAGACTGGACAGAAATGGTTGATCAGGTGAGACGTCATGTGATCATCAGGTTTGTTTCAGAAATGTGAATGTTGTCTTTTTTCACCCTTTATTTCTTTCATGTCGAGTGTAGTTTTTAGCTTCTAAAGCCAGAGCCTTCTGCCTGTTGGTTGATTTCTGCGTGTTTATATGGAGAGTTGATGGTAAACGTGTGTATGTATGTGTATCCTGCTCTCTTCATTTTGTCTGTTTGCAGGGCCACGACAGGTTCTACAACTATAATAACTGCATTATTACTGTATGTGCATATATACAGGGATCCTGTATTTTTCTATATGCATCAACACACTCAAAGATCATGTGGTTCCTTACAGTGTTTGCTGTCAGCCAACTCTTGGTGTTTGTGTTTTGGTTCATTTATTTTTTATTTTTTAATTTGTATTATTTCCCCTTTTTTGTGTTGTACCTAAACAAGTTATCACCAGTGCAACAAGGAGTCATTCAGATTAATCAGTTTGATATTGATGAAGCAGTCAAATTATGTATCAGTCATGATTTCACCAAATCTATCTTTTGCATTTCCTTTTTTGTTTTTTTGCATACTGACATTGAAAATAAAAGCAAAATATCATCAGTGTTAAAACAGAATGTATAATGTTTATCCTGTATCAGTTATCAGAGAATAAACAACCTAGTTGTGACCTTCTTAGATGTGGTCTGGCAGGTTGTTTTATTGTTTAGAAGCATAATGCACAGTAGATTAGATAACTGCGTTTTCAGTTGGTATTTGAGCACAAACGGCCTAAAAGGTACCAGTCCAGTCCTTAGGGGGAATCTCCAAGAGGAATCACCCAACAAGGAACCGATGCTGATGTATCTGCATGTGATTTTTCTTTTTTTAAACTTTTGTCTGCAGACCGCAGGTGCAGTCATGTCCAGCTTTGGCAGAAGAGTTTTAAAAAAAATGTTTAAACACCTGAAATATAGACTGAAAGTGTCAGTGCAGCCTTATTCAAGGTGGATCTGCTTCCTGTGTCTGACCCCAGAAGAAATTAGCAGCTTTAACTTGTATCCAATGATCCTCTTTGGTCCAAACGGCAGCCACATATTCTCAGTGATGGCGGTCCTGAGGCAGGGGTGTGTTAACAGGAGCTGCCCGCCCCCCCGGACGGGCTGCCTCAGGATGACCACTTCAGGATGACCACTTCAGGATGACCACCTCAGGATGTGCTCTGCTGGGAGGGAGACATGCTGTTGTTGTTCTAACCGCCCTTTTCCGTGTTTGGGAATGGACTTTTTCTGAAACTGGAAGAGATTACACAGATTCTTATTTATTTTTCTGGATTCTGGGGATAAGTCGGTCGGTGAGTAATCTCTAAGTTAATTGTGATTTCCTTTTGATTTTGCTTCAACGCTGCCAAGAAACAAGATTTTCAGGATGAGTAATTTCTGCTGGTTGGCACGCTCAATATAACTGTCACACTGACTACCCACTAAAATTGAAAAAGAATGAGGGGGAAAAACTGCAAATGCTGCCAGAGCTTTAGAGCATGTTTGCTTCAAGGTAAGGTCAAGGCGGGTGAGCCATCAGGTTTCCAGTGGGCTGTGAAACTCTGCAAACAGCTATTACCAAATAACACGAGAAAGGCAAGCTGCAGACAGGAAACTGAAATATTCCCATTACCACCCAAAAACTGAATGCATGTGTTCAGCTCTGTGCATGTGTGAAGGCGGCCCTAACGGGGGGGGGGGCTCCCGCTGCCGGTCCTGGGCACCAGAGGGCACGGCCGTCCTGGAACACGCAACAGACACAAGAAGAGTCCAGAGCCAGAGTGAGTTTTAAAAATAATCATGGTTTATAAAACCCAGATATGACAGGATCACCAAAGTGTACAGAAATACAAATACCATCCGAAAACCATCGGGGGACATCGTTATATGCTCGACACGTACAAACTACTCTGTAAAAGAGACTCGGGAGGATGGTTCAGACTGTAAGACATTTTCCTTTGTCTCTTCAAATCACATATAGCCACAGTGTATTTACTCTTATTTATTTTTTTTAGGATCTTATCAAAGCAGAACATCCATCTACTGAACTACAGGTACTATCACGTTCAACTAGTTTAGAGAAACGGTACCAACAACATCAAAAAAGAGAGAGGAGGATGCACACATATCAAGCACTTTAACATTGTGAAGGTCTCAGCAAGCAGGGAAAAATGATCAGCCGTTTTTCTCTTATGAGGCAATTAGGACGTCAGGGTTTGTTTCCATCTCATCCAACGTGAACTGTACAAAATAACCCTGTATGGTTTCTGTCAGTGGGTCACTGCGAGCGACTCCCTCTGACTGGAGTCTGTTTCTGCTCCCCACTTAACTATGTCAAAGTGCTTCTGCCTGCAGTACAGTTAACGACAACAACAGAAGTAATATCACCAGTTTTCTCATGCAGATTCACAAATGTACAAACAGCCAAACGACCTCGGGGGGCAGGACCCGGCCCCCCCGTGTCATCTTCTCCACCCCGTCAGAGGACGGGGCCTTAAAATACGAGGAATCACAACAAGATACGGTCAAACACACCCTCCCTTTTTCTGCCTTTATACAAACACATTTCAACAGCTTTACACATGAAAGTGTGTAGGATTTAGACCAAAAAGCTCCCCATCACATACAAAATACTGCTTGTCCAGGAGCGAAAATGGCAACGAATGAGATCATTGATATCATTGTTGGTGCGTACAATGATCACTAATATACACGGTGTCAAATAAATTAGGATCTATGTACAAAATAAAAACAAAGGCATGCAGGCACGACAAAAGACGCTTTTTACAAAACTACTTGTGGTGGTGTTGTGCGCTCTGTTACGAGAGAGAGGAAATGCAGGCGTCAGTGAGTGCGTGTGCCATATTCTGTGGTGTCGTGTGCAGTGTTTCAATGGGAAGGAAAGCTCTCCACCTTCTAAACCTTACAGGGAAACGGGCGTTCCAGTCTGTTAGCTGCTGAGAGGGACGAAATAAAACGGACGTGCAAGAGACAGAACCTTCCTTTGAGACATCTCTCTGTGTTTCTCCACGCTCTGCCTCATGACTGGTAGGCAGAGGGCCACCGGGAGCTACAGGGTAGAGGATCAGGGGGCTCAAACAGGAAGAGGAAGTCAGACAAACACTGACAGTAGGGTTAGCGTTGTTCCTCAGAGCCAGGGGCCCTGTAACAGCAGCAGCAAATCACCCCGGCTTTCATCTCAAAGCTAACAGCAAATCACATTTATCCCGCTCGTAGTCTACGATTAGCAGGAAAGATCCAACAATCCAATATTCTAGTGAGGCAACAGAAGATAAGCATGGAAATCAACAGCAAACCCTCATGAATGGCACGTGTGCTGGATGAAAGACACCTGGAGGACTCAGAGATGGACAGGAAATGAATTACTCCCATTTAAGGTGAGTAGAGGAACCTTATTTTTTCCCCCACATTTTTGGTACATTCTGTTGAATCGCTCATGACTTTTAGGACGAGGGCAGTGTGGGAACCACAGGATGCTGACACTAAAGCAGCGGCCCTGGTTAACGATTCCCAGTGATCAAACTCCTCCCACCGGGACGTCAGAGCTTTCTGTTCAGAGAAACCAGAGCGGCTTCATACGGAGGAAAGTGTGAAGACAATCCAACCAGGTAAAACAGTCATTGTCTTTTACGCAAACATCAAGCCAGAGAGCCCCCAGAGAAAAGCCTTTTTAGATTTAGACTGAGCATGTTGGACTAATGACAATCAATTTGAAATGGCCTTTTCTTGTTTTCCTTTTTGAGATGTACTGAATATGCTCTCTTGAACACAACAAGAAAGGAGCTGCAGGCTAAAACAGCTAATTACAAAGTCCAGATAATAAGTAAGTGTCTTTTGACTCTTTCTCAGGCAGACTGGAGCACAAATGAATCCTCACTCCTATCACATTCAGAAGAATAAGGCTTTGGTAAAGAACGACATCACCTGTGCCTTTGCTCAATTTGGTGGAATAACACACTTTGACACGCTACAATGATTCAAAAGCCACTTTTGCATTGGTGGAAATTTGTGGTCTTCTCATCAACTTCTTACAAATGTGGCACAAGTTCAACCAAGAGAAACATTCCACACACTGAAAACACAGAAACAATCATGAGGATGCTAAAAACCAGCACTAGGAGTTTAAAAAACACATGTAGAAGTGCTTCATGACTATCCTAATAATAGACATCGCTGTGTGTTAAATATTTTACAAAAAAACTAGAAATGTTTGAATCCAAACTTCCCTTTATAAGAACTTTTTACCATGCCTTGCATCGTAAACGCACTTTTCCTGAAAGCGCCTCCAGCGTTGTGATTGTGCACTGACAACAGGAAAATTCAGAGAAAAAGAAAAAAAAAAGAGTATAAAAAGAATCAACAAGTGAAAACCAGTTGATTTGCTCTGATATGCTGTTATGTGTGTAGAGTCCTTTCTCTGGATTCTGGTTAGTAGTGTTTAGTCTTTTGATTGGCTTCTTCTTCTCCCTGTTGATCCTATGGTAGTCATAAAGGCTTGTAAACAGTCACTTGCAGTGTACACTAAATAAATCCTGGAGAACTTAAAGATGGCTCTATCTAAACTAAAGGAGTCAAATTAATAAAAAGATTCTGCAGAAGTTGCATCATGAATCAGAGGACGATCCGGGGCTTGTTCCATCGGTTGTGTGGAGGTGGTTTGTTAGATGTGTGTCCGTGTGTGTGTCCGTGTGTGTGACTGTGGGCCATCGTCGCTAAGCTTGTGCTTCGGCAGGCTCGTCTTCCTGTGTGTGTATGTCAGTGTGTCTCTCTCTTCATTATAATGTGTGTTTTCTATACTTATAAAGACCAACTCTCTTAACAAGGGTCTAAAGATGAGGTATCTTCTACAAAGGTAGGGACAGTCTGGCTGTCCTCTCGGATTTAAAGGTGTACTCTGAAGGAGGGCCTGCTCTTTAAACTGTGAGGAGGAAGCTTTAGAGTTAGGCATTAACAGAGGGGGTCCTTATGAGTATAGCATGGCAACGTGTGGGGCGGATATGAGCTGATGCTGTGGCCTCAGCTGAAGGCCTCATCATCCGTGTCTTCGATCAGCACCTTTGTGTCTTTCTTCGATCTGAAAGGGAAAAGAAAACAAGCGTTTTTAGCTAATGAGTGAGAATATAGTGGAGATAAGATTAAAGATTTGAACCAGTCTATCTACAGTGCGCTAGCTTATTGATTCCCATGTTTACCCCTTATTCCCAAAGCACACTCCTCTCTGAGTGGCTTCCTAAACCTAGCAATCAATTCACTTTACGACTTATCTAATGACACCTCAATAACCCTGGATCTCCATCAGCTGCTGGAGGAACAAAAGCCCCTCTGTGAGCTCCTATCAGCTCACGTCAGATCAATCTGTTCCATCATCTTGTTTTAGCACTTTAAAGTCAGATAAAAAATGTCCAGCTTAGGAGTGTTCGTAGTAAGTGTGCCTCTCCTATCTGACAGCAGTGGGATTCGTTCAGATGTATCCTGAGAGCAGCCTACTGTGAGGAGGACAGTAGGGGGCGCCGCAGCGACAGGCTGTAGGAGCGCTTCCAGGTCTTCTTCCCCGAGCGGTTCCGGACCCCGTCGTCCTGGTCCATCATCTGCTCCAGCAGCGTCTGGTCATCGGCGTTCAGCGGCGCCACGGAGATGTCCCGCACCGCCCGGAACTCGCCGCAGTTGTTCAGGTGCTCGTTCTCCAGACGGAAGAAGTTCCAAACAAACCGCCTGAGGAGGAACACAGGCAGGGTTAATCAGGCCACTGGGGGTGGGGGGGAGATCTGGAGCAAATGGAGGAGACACCTGGACTTCTGAGAGGTGGAACTTTTCAGAACTTCTTCTATGAATGGATTGTGGTCCAGCAGAGCTACCCCACGCTTTAGACTATAAGACTGTTTTCATGTGGTGGTCCAAGATGGTGGAAAGACCTACCAGGCCTTACAAAACCCTTTCTATCTTTAGGAAACTCTTACACACGCCCCTCTCCACAGAGCAGCTCCTATCCTAACTCCTCCCAGACCTCTGTACCCTCTACTCTTCTTTCTGAACTTCCTTTTCTCTCTTTGCTGTCACCACTGATTCTGACTGGGGATTTTCTTCTTGAGAGATTATTTTCATATTGATTACTGTAAAATTGTGTCTACTCTGTAAGTCGCTTTGGATAAAAGCGTCTGCCAAATGCATAAACATAAACATAAAAGCGTCTAAATGCAGAAACATATGTCACCCTCTTAGGAATCCCTCATTTGAGAGTCCAGCTGTGATAGGAGAGTCATTCAGACCCACCTGAAAACTTCAAGAGGAGCCAGAACGGTGGCCACGATGTCCCCCACCGAGTGGATCCTGGTCATGGTGGTCAGAGAGATCTGGATGGTCCAGGCAAAGCGCAGGATCACGTCCTGAATGATGGCACAGTAGTAGTACGCCTGGACAGGGTAGGGGGGGGGGCAGGATTAGAGTGTGTCACCCCAGAGTCACTCACATTTGGCCCCTGTGTGACTCTACCTTGTGAGGGTAAACGATCTCCTCTCTCAGGAAGGTGTTCTCCCCGGCTCCACGGTCGAACAGACCCCAGTCCATGCGCAGGTCCCAGATCAGCGTGTAGAGGGAGCTGATGGTGGAGAAGACCACTAGCAGGTAGAAGAACATGTCAGCGTCCGTGTGGCCTTGTTCTGAAACAAACACATCCACGCGACTCCCGTCAAACACACCGAAAGCATCAACTCCACCTGGCGGCGGCTACGCCTGCTTCTGGCCACTAGAGGGAGCCCTCCGGTCATAAGTAAAGACCAGTTCAGTAGAAGTCCAGGAGCTGGTTGACTACGTCTTATTTTAGTCAACTCTGTAATCAGAAGTTATCATGAGTAACAGCAAGCAGTGCATTTAATCTTAACAACATAACTATGAATGAGTTGTTTCTTATGAGCTCATGGAAAATAATTTCATATTTAAACCAAATTATTATCCTCAGACTTATCCTAAGACAGGCTGTATCATAACAACTGCATATTTTATGGACTTGATGGACTACAGTATGATTTTAATATGGATTTTTCTGTAAATAAATGTACATTTCTGTAAATAATAATAAATAACAAGTCATTAATGATTTTCATGTCAAAGTCATGGAAAATTATGTATCTCTTTTTTCTTGAGCTCTGATTGAAATCAAGTCCTCATAAGATTACACACTCATTATTATTTAATTAGATTATCACTGAACTCTGAAATAAACACAACATTTCCCCAAAATGAGCAGTATTCTGGGGACAGATGTCAGCTTCCTCCATGCGTAGCTTCCTGACGTGATTCAGCTCTTTTAGTATCCTGACATGACATTTTTTTTTAATCCAGATGTGTGCTTCCCTCTGTGTGTGATTTGCTGGGTTGTGGTTGGTGCTGATCTGTAACTCAGCACCTCTCCGCCTCTCAGTGACTCACACACACACACACACACAGCAGCGTCCAGACGGAGCTGGACCGGCTCCCATTCGTCACAGTCACCGCTTCTTCCTGCTACCCGCCAACCAGACGCCGGGGATTAGGAGCGGGGACCTTTCTATCATGGAATTACGGCTAACTGCTGCCTCCTTTGTGCAGCCGGCTGCCTCCGCTGAGCGATGGGGGGGGGGAAGTGGTCCCTGTGGCCTCACACGTCTCCCAGATGTGGATTCAACTGAGTCCTGGACAACAGAGTGTGTTCACCGGAGGAAACGGCCGGTGTGGAGCGGGGGTGTTCAGCTGCTGGGCTCCTGAGCCATTAAGAGGTTAAGTACGGTGAGATGGACATTGATTGGATGCTCAGTAAAAGATAACTGTGGTCACTGGCTCCTGTCACACATGCTCAGTCTCCATTTCCCTGTCACACACGCGCACACACACACACAGAGCTGCGATTGCCTGTAAGCATCAAAGAGGTTATCCTGTTACAGATAGACTACTTTTACTTCATGCAACAGGCCTCTTTCCACTGATAGAAACATGTCCAAACCACAGACAAACAGCACAGTCGGTCTCCACTATAACAATGATTTCTCATCTGTTCCCATGGAAACCACTTTTTCAACAAGATAATTTGTAATCCAGAGCCATCCAGAGCTTTAAGTGAATGCCACAGAACTGCAAAGCCCCATTTCATTTCTCAGGGGAGGACATTTTTTTCCTGTATTTTGTACATCTCAAATAGCACAATGGACATTAATAAAAACAATGACACACTTATCTTTAAAAAAAAGATCTCAGAGAAATGGGGTTGGGATATCCAGGACCAGAGTCTATTCACATTGTTCCCATAATTCAGTAAACTGGCCTGAGAGCCTTGGTATCTGTGTCTTCTTTTCTCTGTGGTTTTCAGGACTTTAAAAATGTCATTGTGATGTTGGAGAGGGCCCTGGGGACAGAGGAGATTCAACCGCCCAGGATTTACAGAGAAAAAACACAATGAGAAGCTGTACAGCAGCATTTGGTTTGTATCTTTTAGACTCATTAACCTCTCTCTGTGAGCCCTGATAAGATGAGCCCCTGATTGTAGGGCCTCCCAATTTAAAGCTGAAAAACCATAACAGAAGCTAAACACAAATGCATGGGTATCAACAAAATCATGAAGGTATCATAAAGGCTAATCATTTGTTCTCCTTTTATACACATTTTGGTGATAACTTTGTGATTTTAAGTAGGTTTTTAAATTAATCCTGTATGCTCTACTGCATTCCATTTAACATTCCATTTTTATTATTATCATTATAACAGACATTTCTTTTTATTGAAGCGTTGGTGTTTGTACTTATGTCAAAGAGTACAGCAGCTATTCTCTATTAACATTTATTAACTTCCACACATCTCTGCTCTCAGTCCGATACTGGTCCTGTTAACGCACAATTCCCTTTTTCAAAATCCCCTTTTTCAGGCCCTGTCTGAGTCCAGAGGAGCACATGTTTGCAGCGGGAGTCTGCTGGACCGCAGCAGAGGTGATTTAGAGTTCAGAGAGGCGGATTTGACTCAGCAGAGTCTTTTATCTGCGCTGGTTAGCAGCAACTCTCCTCCTGATAATGAACCCAGGGTCAGTACACGGAATTAAGTTATAAAAGCTGTCAGTTCTTGGCTCATCTCTATTCCAGTACAGTCCAGCAGACTCAGCCCTCGGCTGGGTTTTACACATTCCTCCTCTCTGCTCCTCCCTCCCCCTCCCCACTTCCCCCTCAGTGCTCATCTCTAAATTTATGGATTTCTCAGTTCGGCTGCACTCTGTTCATTTCCACCTCCTACACCACTTTCCACCTTTTCACAGAAAACAGCAGGAGTGAAGTTCCTCTCTGGTTCAGGTTATTTTAGGCTGGAGAGGCTTTGATAATAATGTCACAGACAGAGGTTTAATGCTTTACTCATAGCAGGCAACTTAGAACATTTCTTTGTAATTCTGCTATTGACGCTACAAAAGAAAAGAACACAGACAATAAGAAAAATAAAAAAACTGCATGCATCTGATCCAGTGCAGACCCTGAGAAAAGGTTCAGCTTTAGCATTGGACTTGACACAGAATTTTCGGGAACATTGCCGAAAGCAGCAAATCCACAAGAGTCTGTAATGCCACCGGCATCTGCTGAGCTGTTTCAGCACAGCGTCCAATCGGCTCCTCAGCTCTGAGCCCGGTGCGTCTGAGAGAGGAAAGCTGCTAAAACGACTAAATCCTGGACAGACACAACACGGCCCAGACAGTCTGACAGCAGCCAGAGTTTTACACCAGGAAATCAATGAACACCAGCCAGTCTGAAGACAAACGCTGCATTTCTTTGTTTCACTGCGCTTTTAGCATTTCGCCTCCCCGGAGCACAGATGGAGCTTTTCCAGGAATTGGTTTTGGCGGGAGGCAGCGAGGTCACAGCGGAGCCCCCGGGCTGTGGTCAGGTTAGCCCTGAAGGTGACACACACACACACACACACACACACACACACACACACACACACACA